ACTAAAAAAAAATTACGTACAGAGGAGTCGAGCGGGACTGCATGAAGGAACTGGGGGCAGAAAAGCAAGCACACGTCTCTGCAGGGAGCCCTGGGCAGAGCAGAGCATCCCAACAAAACCATGCCCTCCTTCCACGACTTGCTGCGTGATATTCGGCAGCTCATTCCCTCTCAGCATCCCACCTCCATGCATTAGGGTGTACGGGGTGCTCTCCATCACCGTGCCAAGCTTTTTGGCAGCAGGTCCCGGTGCTTCCAGCCGAAGGCGAGCTGTGCTGCTCCGGAGCGGGAGGCGAGGTGACAGATGGAGAGGCAGGTGCTCACAAAGCAGCAGCACCATGTGCCATCACCAGCCACCTGGCCCGTCCTCCCCTCCTGCAGATCCACGCTCTGCCCCAAAACCCAGCCGGGATGGGGAAAAGAGGCCCCAGCCATGGGAGGAGCGGGATGTAGAAAACAGACCCTGCAAATCTCTGTTTCACTCCGGCTCGTTGCTGTTTAGGAAGAGCAGTTAGAAAGAAGAAAGCATCGTGTTTGTCTTGAACACCGCGAGGGAACTTATTTATTTCCAATCAGCATGACAACTGCTTCCTTTTCTGGCTATCACTGCAACTCCAGATGGTACATTTGAGCGTACTCAAACCTCTAACTTGGCTCCATACAAAGACGTCGCCTTCCTGGTTAGCTAAAAGTGTATTAATAGGATTGGGATAAAAGTTCCTGCTCCCCTGTGCTGCGCAGAGTGCTTGAATAATGACATTTTGCTCATTGTGCAGCATCCTGGCGAGTATTTAAGCAAGGTGTTTGAAGGGGACGAGCCTCTGCTGAATGTGACTCAGTTGTAAACACCTTCTATTTGAATTCAGATTCATTTAGATTTGAGTTTCATTTAGATTTTCATTTCCTTTAGATTTGAATTTAGATTCAAATAGAAATTCTCAAATGATTTTGAATTAGACTCGAAATATCTGATTATTTCTGATTCTGTATTTGATTATTTTGTTAAGCCTCGCAGTTCTGCAACCCTTTAAGAGCAGCAGCCATTGCCTGTCTTTATCATCCCTACACCCTTTTCCCAGTGCTTGCTCTGCACCAAAAAGCTGCACTTTCCTCAATCTCCCAGCTGAGGTGGGAGAAAACTTAGGGCAACTTTTTGTACCTGGAGCTGCCCTAGGACTAGCAGGAGGTGACGGTGTGTGACCGATTCGAGCCAGCCCTGTCCCTCCGATGGGACCTGGTGGGGTGGCTGGCGACTGCATGGCCGAGCCTGTGCCTCACTTAAAAGCTGTGCTGTTATTGTTTTAAAGAAAATAATATCCTGTTTCCTTTCTAAACTGTGTATCTCTTGAAAAATGTTAAATGGCTGCTACATTCCTGTCTTTATCCCGGACACTTTTTACGAGTCTGTACTTCCCTCTCCTTGTGCTTTAACAAGCTGCCTAAGCAGAGGATTAAGGGAATGACTTAGTGCACATGTGCTAAAAAATCCACCTTCAAAATCTTACACAGCTTAAAAAACCAAACAGACACAGCCAGCCAGGCCCCCGCTCTCTGCACTTAAAAATAATTGTCAGCGTCGTGTGGTCAGCCTGCAGCTTGCCAGCTGGCCTCTCCTCTGAAAGAAAGAACATTTTAAGTGATGGAAACTAGAAATACATAGCAGCGCTTTTCCCAAACTGATTTCTGGTGGGGTTTCCCATTTCTCTCTCTTTCCTATTACCAGAGCTCGGCACTCAATGGCTGGGAGTAAGCAGGCACGGCTCAGGAAGGAGGAGGAAGGGAAGCACTGAGCCCTGTCATGCTGTCAGGCACCTTCTGTAAATATTTATGTGACCTACAGGATACAGCACAGTTTGAAATCTTGCAGTCCCCGTAGCCACTGTGCAGTCGTGCGGTTCCCTGCGCTCCTCTTCCCGTATTTCAGACGAGACGGGGGGCTTCATGTAGCTGGGATTTGCTCGTAGTGTGCACTGACCTGAACTGGGGATGCTGCACCAAACCGCGGGTACCTCTGCGGATCCCAGCAAACAGCAAGGAGCTCACATCTTGAGGATGTAGCTGTGATTGGAGTCACGCACTTCAACGCAACAAGGACTTTCTGTCCTCCATCACACGGGGAAAGCAGCAGAAGGATACGCTAAGGTAGTGCTTGGAGGACTGAGCTAAAGCTCGCTGAAGGGAAGAAAAAATATTCCCCCTGCCACGCGCTGATGCTACACTGATGTCTTCCTTGCAAAAATTCCTGGGTGGTTTTTTTTTGTTTTTTTTTTTCCTTACAAAGTGCAGAAAAGGAACCTACCCGCCCCCCCAACCAGGAACTTGATCCCTAGTGATATCTTCCTGTCCTGACCCTATTTATAGAAGGAAGGTCACCCGAATGAGAACAGAAACGGTATCATATGATTTTTGGTGACCAACTGACTTCTGAATATTGAGGATTCGGAGGAACACATTTGAATAGCCCACAACAAAAAGCATTTGAGCAGAACACCTCACCACGGCCGTATGTGCTTGTGGGACAACAAAGCAGTGAGTTATGGGGAACGTGGGTATTCCGACACCAAATAATCAACTAATCTGATGGACAGAAGGTTTGCTGGCAAAATCGTTCTTCAATGGGCAGTTGTTCATTGAGAGCCCAAAACAGAAACATTTCCACTATTGTGCTGTGAGCAGGAGAAACAATTGCTGAAAACTGCAAAAATGAAGGAACCTATAAATGCCGCTGCAGGGGCAATTTGGAAACGCAGACCAGAAAGCTGCAAATGTTACTGTGTGCAAAGTGTACACAGACTTAAAAAAAAAAAAAAAAAAAAAAAAAAACAGACTTAAAAAAGTCAGGGTTGAAATAAATACATATACCTATCTGCATACTGTTTGCATAAATGCATATTTTATGCACTTCTCCCCCCCAGACGAGCCAAACTAAAACTGCTTATTTTATAATCCTAACAAAACCGCGTTGTGTGATGTTTCTCTATCAGACTCCTTTTGCATAAATTACGATCCGTAATTCCTCCCTTATCGTGTCAGGCAGCTTCAAACTGAACCTCCCGACGAGGAGAGCCAAGTTCTTCCATCACGTTTAACGCAGCTTCCAACAAATCTTTCTTTACACAGCTAAATATTTTATGGGCCAAAGATTCGGGGCTACTTGAAATGATGAATTCATCCCTCCGAGGGGTTTCGTTGCGGGCTAAGAAGTTTGTCTGGGCTCGAGGCACGCAATGAAAGGGAAGATTTAGTCATTCCCTTTCTTTTACAGGCTGCCTCCTTCCTTCCATTGCTCATTCACAAAGCCCTGGTGCTTTCGTAGGCAGACAAGCCGTAGGTGGATCTGAGGTAGAGGCTGCTGCTGGCGTTTGCTGCTGCCTCCGTGGGCAGCGCCGTGCAGCAGAGCAAGCTCCTTACACGCACAGGGGTCAGCAGCGCCCGCGGCAGGGTTTCCATCTCTGCTTATCACAGCAAAAGGAGAGACAGCAGAAAGAGGGAAAATTCAGCCCCAAGCAGCAGCAGGCAGAAGGGCGACCCCTTTATGAATTAGGCATTGCTTCTGGAGAACACGCGAGCTCTCTGGACCCGAGGGTTCAAACCTGCTGCGTGACTCAGCCTGCGCGAGGAGGAGGAGAGGAGGCTGCCCATGGTGGTGGCAGCAGCTCCGGGTGCCCCAGGGAACACCTCCGAGGGCTGGAAGGGCTCAGCCCTGGCAGCACAGCCTGGCTGTGATGGAGCCTGGTGAAACATGGGCACAGCCACACTCACAGCCCCAGCACATCAGCCGATCGCTGCCCTGGTATCACCACCCCGAAGCCTGCACCGTTTTTTAGGGATAAAATATAACGTGGGTGCAGGTAGAGATGCATCAAACAGGTCGCTCCTGCCCCTTGCTCTGGCAGCAACGTGCACCTTCCTCTTTAAATTGGGCTGGAATAAGAAAGCTGAGCAATTACAGAGGCAGGATTTCTGCGTGGTGCTGCTGAGACTGAAGGCTCTATGGTTAATGCATCATTCCCCATTACAGCCATTTCCTCTGAAGTAAATGGGATCTTGCCATTATGCTTTATGTTTATTGATATGCATTTCCTAGCTGAATTGACGTTCCCCTGTTGCTTTTTTTTTTCTACCCTGAAATTGCAGGAAGCCAAAAATCCTTCAAGAGTACTGAGTTAAATTCTGGAGCATGAAGAGCTGTGTGCTCCTGCATTAAGTGGTCTGGGGTTAAAACAGGCACCAGTTACACATTAATATGTGTGTTTCAGGGCAGCAACACCAGTCCTGCTAAGGGGTCAAGTGTTTAGCGGGGACACGTCCTAGCAATATTCAGCGCCGTGCAACCAGTGGTTCAGTGGAGGAAGATTTTCCTTGTGACTCGACTGAAGAGAGTCACAGGGAGGCTTTTGAGGTTGAACAAATCAAAAAACCCTTTGTGGTGGCTAAAATACCTGCGGTGCTTTTGGAAGGCACTGCTATTGGGATCTTCTTTCTCCTTCTCCAAAGGCTCCGTGCGCCCACCTGCAGTCGGCCGTAGCATCGTCCTCGCTTTCTGCTCCAAATTACTCTCACGTGCTGCTGGGCATCGTTAAAGGAGTGCCCTGTGCTTCATCTCGGAGGCAGCCTCAATTAAGAACGGGAGGAATCGGGAGGCTCAGGGGCTCGTAACGCTGCACAAAGCCTTTCACCTCCGATCTGCATCCAGCTGCAACGTTTGCGTGACCAGAAATGGTTGCTGTGCGGTGGCGGTTGGGTGGGCTCTGAAAAATAAGTTGTTTGCTGCCTTTTGCCTTTTCTGCTGCATCTGTGTCACCAAACCACTTCTTTCCACTAGCTGCAGTGCTACAGCCAACACTTGCTACCCAGCACGAGGAAATCTGAGCACCTAAAGCCGTAGCTCGTCACCTCATTGAGTGACCTGGTTTCTTCCGGAGCTGAATTGTGGCTCCCTGCTCCCACTGCACTCAGCAGTCGTGAAAACCAGGCCACTTCTTGAAGTGACCAACGTAGCCGTGACTGGCCTCGAGTGCTCAGCTTTTTAAAAGGCGATTTTGACAGCGGGGCACCCAGAGGTGGCTCCTCTCCCAGCTCTGCCTGCAAAGATGGGTATTGGGGAGGGATTTGGGGCATGCCCTGTTCCGTGCCTAACCAGGAGCTATCAGCCATCAACTTCATTCCCAGCGTTAAATTAAAAAAGAAATAAAATTCTCTCCATTTCAGGTCCCGTGATAAAAATATACCTCGCCCTTTGTTTGCTTGATGCAGCAGTTCCTCCTTGCACTGAAAATTAAATTGGGAAGGGAGTTTTATTGTCCCTGTGGAGGAGAGAGGCACCTATTGAAAGCACTCATGAACGAAGCATGGGGGGCCCAGCCCAATGTTTTCTGATGCCTTTTGGGGTCCTGCGAGTACAAAGGCAGCGGAGAAGGAGCTGCAGGGAAATCCAGCAGAGCTCCATCGTCCCGCTAGGTTGTGCTTGACTCCTTCGCAGCTCTGCTCCGGGGTCTGGGGAGAGCAAACAAGGAGGACAGCCAGCTTGTCTGCCCTCGCCTTGCAGCTGGAGAAACTGCTCCCATCAGGGCCAGAGCTTCTCTGACAGAACAGAGCGGGCTGTGATGTTGACCGTGCACAATGCATCCTTCCAGAAGGCAGGTGCCTGGCCCAGCAGCCCACTGATCTCAGATGAATGCTGGCAGATAAGGGCAGCAGAGCGGCTCAGGAGGAAGTATTTTCATAATCGCCCCTTTGCAACACAGCTCTTTTTTTTTTTTTTTTTTGCAGCATTATCTTTCTGCCTTCCTCTTGCTCTCCAAATGAACAGAAATATGTATATTCACGGGGTGGGGAAGCCAATGGCAGAGCCGAAACACAGCTGAGTCAACAACACGCGTCTCTGACCAAGCGGGCGATGTTTCGCCCTCCCGCCTGGTTATCAGAGGGCTTTCAAAAGTCAGCGCTGCACGCAGAAAGGGCAGCGGAAGCTCAGCACAAGCCCTGCAGAAGCAAGAAATGCCAGAGGGTCCCTGCTGCCCTAATCCTACAGCCAAGGCCCCGGGACCCTGCAGTCATGAGCCTTTTCCCTTCTTTGCACCCATTTTTTAGAGCCAACCCCCAGCACCTCCACACAGCACACCCATCCTATCCCTTGGGCCAGACACATTCCCTCTGGCTTCGAGATGTCAGCAAGCTTTCGGAGTTATTATTAGGCTGTAACACACCACAGTTAGTAAGGTTAGGTTAGGGCTTGAGGCTGCCCACTGGAAACTCGAACTTTTCCCATCCTCGGTCAGATTTTGTGTCGTTAACAGCAGGGCTCTGCCCTCAGCAGGAGCTGCACCAGGGCCTGGATGCGTTCCCTGCTGGCTGACACTGGGGAAGATGTCCCTGCCTCCTTCATTCATATCTTTTTGCTAAACGTTTCTGCCTGCTGGATTCTGGGTGAATTCTTCGTTTTGGCAGTCTCTGGCGTCACAAAGCTGAGCTGATCCACAGCTGCATTTCGCTGCTGATGCTGAGCATTTTGGAAAACTCGACTGGGATAAAAAGGCAGCGTCGCACTGGGTTGTTCTGCACCTGAACAACTTGCTGAACAGAAGACTTTGGTGCTAAAAGCTGGGGGAAAAGGGATATTGAGGCATCCCGAAGGGGAAAAAAAAAGCAAAAGAAGTGCACATTCATGCAATAAGGACTGAAGAGTGCTAGCAAATTTTGGCAGGTTCCTCTAACCTGAAAAATCTCGGCTTTGTGCCCCCTGGTGGCAGCTGCATTTCTCTGGTCCTCAGTGCCACTGCAGTGCCTGTACCTCAGAGCCAACCCTTTTCGTTTCCCTGCTGAGCCAATGCCCAGCGCAGAGGCCATTAGATGCCATTAGCAAGAAGTCTGCTAGAAGGTTCTTCACTATCCAGAAAAGCACCAGGGAAAATCCAGAGGTTCAGATAAATCATTGCAGGACTAGGCTGGCAACACATGGCGCACTTGGTTTGGATGCTCGGTGTACGGCTGTAATTATTTTAATTATCCTAGGCTTCACCCCAAAACTTGACTCAGTTTTTCTGTGAGTATTCACAATATGTAACCCTGCTTGGAGGGAGTTAAGGCAGAACTTAGCTCCTGCCTAATGTGAGATTAAAGATGTCTATCTTGCTCGGCTCAAACAATAGATGAGGCTATGTCCATACAATCCAACTGAAATAGCCTTTTTTTTTTTCTGCTTTCTTTTCAGACAAAAAGCACTGGCATCAACAGGTGGACGAAGCGTTCAAGCAGCATGCGACTGGTTGGTATGAAGTAATAAATGTTCAAAAGAGAAAAAGGAATCAGTGAATGGAAAGGCTACGATTTTAGCCAGTAGGATGTAAAATGTTATGGCAGAAGTTTTCTTTTAACAAGGGCACTGCCTGGAAAGCAGTAGCAAAATTAGAGAGCTATTATTTAAGTGCTGCAAATAAGCAACCAAGAAGCAAGCCTTGGCTGAGGGAGGTTGTGATCACACGTAACAGCAACAGCAAGGTGAGAGGAGGAACTGCTGCTCTCCACCCTGGTGCCCAAACACCAACCCGAGAGCCACCTTCGCAAAGATGTTGAGCAATTTCCAGCGCTTTCCCTGCCGTGTTTTGTACCTCTAATGTCAGAGAGGCAGAAGCAGTGACGGAGGGTAGATCTTCAGAGCCTCGGTCTGAAGCTACAAACCCATTTTGTGTGTTACTTAGGAGCGGTAATGGGCTGCAAGAGAGACAGCGCAGCTCTCCGCCTGACCTCTAAGAGCTGATTTTTTCCATAAAGGGAGAAGGAAAGGGAGCGAGGACAGGCTGATTCTGCTGGAAAAAAATATAAAATAAACATGCCTTTGTATGTCCATCTAACACTTCTTTCTCCCCCTCAGGCTGTTCTCCCATGTGGGTGACCCATTCCTCGATGACACCCTGCCCCGGGAGTACGTCCTCTACCTGCGCCCCACCGGCCCCCTGGCTCAGAAGCTCTCCGAGTTCTGGCAGCAGTCAAAGCAGATCTGTGGGAAGAACAAAGCTCACAACATTTTCCCACATATCACCCTCTGCCAGTTCTTTATGGTAAACCAGAGCTCCTCTTTTTGCTGCCTTCATGCACGCATTGATGAGCGGCCCTCACCAGGCTCGGGCTGGAGGTGCTGCACACTTTGTTCAGTCGCTGCAGACGGGTTTTTGTGCTCGGAGTTCGGGGGTGTTAGGACCAGAACTGTCTGATGGCTGGGCTTCTCGGGGAGGGAATTGGTTTTTTAGCAAGGTGTTTTCAGGGAGGAGCAGCAGACCAAATTCTTGTAACCTCCAGTGACTGTTAACATGGGAATAGGCAGCACTGGGGTGAGGTTAGGAAGGCTGCTTTGGGGCAGCTGATCCTGCTTCAGGGGCAAGTGGGGGACAGATGATGCCTGACCCCTATTTCTGTGACCCGGGGCTTTTTCTACCCTTCCTGCTCATCCACCCAAGCCCTTCCTTTCTCTGAGTGCACCCAGAGCTAAGCACAGGCGTAATGCAATGGTTGTCCTCTTTCCTTCGGCAGTGCGAGGACAGCAAGGTCGATGCTCTCACTGAAGCTCTGCAGGCCACCGTGATGCGGTGGAAGTGCAAATTCCCTGCCCCTCTGCCTCTGGAGCTCTACACGTCCTCGAACTTCATCGGGCTTTTCGTCAAGGAAGAAAGTGCTGAGGTGCTCAAGAAGTTTGCTGCAGACTTCGCTGCAGAGGCAGCCTCCAAAGCAGGTGAGTGACTGCAGGCAGCCAGCGAGTGCTCACAGCTTGGGCAGGGCCTGGGCTCGGTCTCGCAAACCCTTGCAAAGCTCCCTCCCCAAGAATTAACCCCAGCACGAGTGGCTCTCCTAACAGACTGCTCCTGAGGAAGAAGAGAGGAGAAGATGAATAATTTTTTTCCTAAAAGAGCTATTCCCAAGCCAGGCTGATGTACCAGCCCTGATACAGGGCTCCTTTCCCTGCAAGACGCTACATTTCTCTTTGCCACGTCAGAAAAATAATCCCAATCGGCTGCATTTTACTGCACTGAGGTATTTTGCTCATGCCAAGAACTACATTTATTATTACAAAAATATATATTAAGTGACCACTCACCCAGCACGTAGCCGTCTTTGTCCAGCTGTGTAATTTAACTTGAGATACCGAGGACTGTGATGCTGCATGGCATGAAAGCCCACACTCCTCTCAGAGTGGCCATTTCAAAGGTCATCTTTCTCACTACCCTATCAGTGCTGTGATGCTTCGCCACGACTGGGCAAAGGGAGAACACCCAATTAATGCGATACACACAGGGAGCTAAATGTCAGGGCTGCCCACAGAAAGGCAGCGATACCTGCCAGCTACAGAAAGGGTGGCCTGAGGGCAAAGAGCCTGAGAGGAGCACCCTGCTGGGCGCCTTGTTTGTCAGAGCTTTTTCAGTTTAAAGATCACCTCGCACTTAGTCTCAAGTGTTATCTCCTGAAGGGGAAGTTGACATTTGGCGGTTCCTTAACCTTTCAGCGAGACACAGCCCGTGAGGCTGAGCGTTTCCTGCTCCTTTCGCTACCACGAGCCGCTGTCACAAAACTTTCCTCTGCCTTTGGGTCTTTGCTGTGTTTCTGAGACGCACACCCAGGGCGAGAAGACCCGAGGTGCCCTTTCCAAACCTCGTGGCCCAGCCACAACACCTGGTCCTTCCTTCTCGCAGGGTGATCCCGGAGCTTAAGTGCATCAAGACACAGCCACGGCCGAGCCCCTGAATGTCTCCACCTAGACAGGCAGCCTGTGACACCGTGCAGAGCAGCTCCAGGCGGCTGCCCTGGTTCAGAGGAAGAAGTACAGAGGTGTCGTAGGTTCATCCCACCTCTGAAATGCACTGCTTCTGCCTAATGGTGGCCTAGAACTTCCCTTCCCTTTAGAAGAGGGAGGAAATAGTCGTTAGCATTACAAACGCACTCCGTACCCCAAAAATGCTGACCCAGAAGAGAAGGAGGCACCAACAGCTTCCAGCAGACTTCGAGCCCTGCAACAGCTCCAATTCGGACCCAACTGGTCACTTCTTCCTTAGGAGAAGCTCTTTGCTGCATTGCAGTCCACATTAAAGTCTCTGGGGCTTCTTCAGAGGTCCATAGCTTGTTTTTTTCATGCTGATCAAAAAAAGATGGATGAGCTCGCAAAGCTACCCCTGGCTGGCATTTGGAGCTCTCTGAATAGCTGCAATTCTGACTGAATAATCAGTCAAATTTAATTGCAATTTTTGGTTGAATAAGCAGGAGTAAATTACATGCAAACAATGTATCCTATGATTTGCACATCCACTGGGAGAGTCCCAATGTTTCACATATTTTCACCTTTCTGCTTCCTTGACTCTCTTCCTAATATAGGTTTGTTTGTCTACAGGATCATTTTGTAATCAGTCAGTAATTATCTTACCAACTTCTGCTCTCAGGATTTTGGAACACCTTACCCTCAGTGGGTGAACTGGTAACCCAGTTAATGTCCAGAAAAAAAAAAAAGATTTAATCAACTTGCATGAATCTGTAAACTCCATGGATTTCTGATATATATGATAAGAGAGAAGAGAGGAGGGACAGTAAAAATTACAAATTTACTTGCTTATTTTGGAGAAAGCCTCAGCTGCCAATGAAAGACTACCCCTTACCTGGAAAAGTCTCTTTTTTCACAGAAGACACAAAATTACAGTAATTGCTGTCACACCATCCAGAAACCCCTTTTTTTTTCAGAATGCAGATGAGTTTTTAGCACGGATGCCTTGTCTACCACCCGGGTGTGACTAAGGATTGAATCAGGCCGCAAATCCAATCACTTGACCCCAAGGTACAACATACATAGGGCACCCATATCTGACTTCCCCAAAGCCTTTCCACAAACTGACCTACAATTTCTTCCACTTAAGCTACCTCGAGAAGCTCTGCTCCTGTTCAGAGGTGACAGACACCCTTACGCCTTAGAAAAGCTGCTAATCTTGGCAGTTCCCTTGTTGATAACCACCTTCTTGTTGCAGATGTTCACGTGGAGCCCCACAAGAAGCAGCTCCACGTGACGCTGGCCTACCACTTCCAAACCAGCCACCTGCCCACGCTGGAGAAGCTGGCACAGAACATCGACGTCAAGCTGGGCTGCGACTGGGTCGCCGCGATTTTCTCCCGAGACATACGCTTTGTGAATCACGAGGTACGCTTCCTAGAGCTTGTTTCGGTCCAAAAAGAAAGAAAAGAAAGAGGGTCTAGCAGAACTGCAGGCTGTTCCAGCTGCATTTGTGGCTCAAATGCAGGTCGTGAGCTGACTGAACACAGATAAGCAGCAGACTACCCAGACATTAAAGAATTTCCATTACTCCATGAGAACACATCTCCCATATGTCACCAGTCAGCTGGACCAACAGACCATCTCACCTGTTTGGCTTTTACTCATGCCATCTAGACTTGCTTTCTCCCTCCCATCTCATTTCTTGCTTCTTGCAGGAATGATTTCCTTCTGGATTAATTCTTTCTAACAATGACTCTCCTCTAAGCTTGCTGTAAATTGTCCTGGCCTCTCCAGAGCCAGGCCAGTGTATCTTAACCTGAACCCTAGCCATCAATCACAGCATTTGGTTTCATCAGCCAAGAAACCTTTACCTTCCTGGCCTAAATACTTTAACTACTCACGGATTCTACAGTTGCAGTGCCTAAGTCTCTTACTACAGTTTTCTCAATATTGTTTTCCAACACAATATACAAAAAAGAAAAAATAGATTTTGTAAATTGGGACCTTGGGCACAGAGAAATTACATGTGAGACTTGTCCCACCTCCCTGTAAATACCCCCAAGCAGACACCTAAGCCTGAGCCAGTCACCCGAGGCTCCCTTCGCAGTCAGTGCAGACAAACAGGCACCTCCACAAGAGCATCTCTGTCCCATCTGAGATGTCTGTCTGGGGATGAGATGAATCAACTCCTGGAGGAGGGAACCTCCAGAAGCTGCCTGCTCAGGCTCTGGTGGCTACCTACACTCCTAAGGCTGGGGTGATTAATCCACCAACACGCACAGTCCAGAATTAGACAAAGAAAACCTGCAGCAAAGTGGGAAACGGTGATTTTAGCCCAGCACACGATACACTGTGGAGTAAAAAACTGCCAGAGCTTCTGGAGAGCTGAAGTCTCTCGTGCACAGCTCTCTGACCCTGCCCAAGCCATTTATCCACGCGTGACAGCCTCCTTTCCTGTCCAAGTGTCATCTTGGAAGCTGCAAGCAGTCAGCACCGCCACTGATCCCGCAGGGAGCTGCTGCTGAGAACCAGCTCCCAGCTTTGCACATCGAACTCCAGGCTGCCGTGTGTGAGTTTGGGCCCTGTGGGATCAGGTGACGGTGACGAGTTTCCATCCTCCTTTCAAGATACCACAGATATCTGGAAGGATTGGTGAGCAAACGCACTGACACCAGCAGCAGATCAGATCATGGTTTGTGTTGGCATGACACCGTTGCAGAAGTTAGACTGGCCCAGGGACACATTTGTTCTCCTTTTAACTGAGAGCCTGCTGCAGCCACTGCCATTAATTTAATATTTAATATGTGGGGATTAAATTTAACATTTAATACATGTGGATTCCTCACGCCCTAGTGAGGAGAGGATTACAGAGTTACGTTCACTGAGCTTTGCCCCACTTTTTAACTTTCTCACGTTATGAAATACAAAGAAAAGCAGGCAGCCACAACTCGGTACTTCTCACACCTGCACACACAGCTCTGGAGCCTCGTGTCACACATTCAGAGCTGCTGTCCCCCTGACTGGCTCTACCTCGATTTCAAAAGCAGCAGCAATGACAGCTGCTCTTTTAGCACAAGCAGGTACAGCGACAGTGGCCACTGACCACGAGAACCATGTGAATTCCAGTTCACAGTGAGTTCAGTTCTGTTTTTAACAGACCACTTTAAGCACATGGTCATGTTTCTGCTCCCTCTAAAAAGCCATCCCCTCCTTTCCCTTCTGGTTATCAAAGACGTGGCTGGAATCAGAGGGAGGAAGGAGTCAATACCAAGAAAAGCTTTCCAACACCAAAGAGTGGGAAGTAGTAGAAATTTCCTCCAAGTGAAGCTTTCCTGGACAAAGCACAAAGTGATGCATTTTAAGGAGAGCTGTTTACACCTTGGACACTTTAAAGGTTTGGTACAGGAGCTCTCCTGCCCTACTCTGCTGAAGATTCCCTGCCATTAACAACCCTTTCATTCATTTGTGCTTCTGTTTCTCCCCCAGACTCTGCAAGTGATCTATCCTTACACACCCCAGAACGATGATGAACTCGAGCTGGTCCCAGGGGACTTCATTTTCATGTCACCAGTGGAACAAACCAGTACAAGTGAGGGCTGGATTTATGGCATTTCCCTTGCAACTGGCTGCTCTGGGCTGCTGCCCGAAAATTACATCACGAAGGCGGATGAATGTGGGACCTGGGTGTTTCATGGGTAGGTAAAGCCGCTCAGTTCACTTTCTGTCATTGTAAAAAGGGGGCTCAGCAGCCAGGATCTCACCTGAGCAAGTGAAAAGTCTCCCAGGGCTGCTGAGAAGGTCGCTTGGGGAAACACTGAGCACACAAAGCCCCATCTCGTGAGCAAAGGGAGAGCAGATGCCAGCCCAGTGCATGGGACTGGAGGGTGATGTGGTTTATTTAGCTAAGACATTGCAGCAACTCTTACTCACAGGATCGCTGCAGAGCTGGAGCAGATGGGCACTGCAGAGCCACCACTGTGTGGGCACCTCGGTGGTGGCAGCAGGATCAGGAAGGTTTAAATCCGAGCATTAATTTGGGAGGCGAGGTGTGTATAATTCCAGGAGAAAAGGACTGGGGGTCAGCAAGGTTTCTTAAGATACTTAGCAAGGCTTCCAGAAGTGGTTAGTCGCCTGCCTGACACTGGCTTCAGCGAGAAGCTCGTTCTGAGCAAGGTTCTGCCTTGTTGCCTCTTGCTTTTGGTGGGAATTAGTCAAAGAGCAGTAAAAACCTAGTGCTTGAGCTGTGGTCTGGGCACTCCTGCAAGCCCCACAGGGCTGTTTGCATCCCAAAGCACCTAAAGCCATCTGGAGAACAGGGAGTAGTTTCTATGCAGGAGCACGAGATGACAAGGGGAGCAGAGAGGCACGTTCCTGCCTGCTGGCCCCCTGGCAAACAGCACACTGATCCAGTAACTCTTCAAATCAAGCAAAATGCAGGAAACAAAAGAGCAAAACTGACGTGCAGCCTTTGTCTGTGTCTCATCAGGCTTAGCATGCGTCGTGGTGAAGGGCAGATGGCAAGCAGACACGGGGCAATTGCAGCTTGCAGGCTGGCCTCCAGATGTGGCTGTCACAACCACTGCCCTTCTACAAACCAGTCCTGCTTTAACCCCAAATCCTACCCAACCCAGAAAACTGCCAGGCAGGGACAAGCATAGCAAGAGGTCACTCCTTTGCCCCTCTTGCCACAACCAGTCAATCAGCAAGTTTGTTTGAAGGCAGGACTTAATCCAGACCCTCCCATCTGCAATCCAGCCAAATTGTCCTTTCTTCCCCTAAAGTTTGCCAGCCAAAATAGCCTCAGGTCCACAAATAGCGAGGCGCCCTGCTCTAGTGGATTTTGCTTTTCTTCTAACAGTACCTGGAAGGGTTTTGAGGCCTAGAGACTTAGCATGGGAAAGAACTATTATTGCAGCAGCGACCAGAAGGAAAGCCAAACATTTTGTACCTCCAGGACTGCTTTGTCTCCAGGCAAGCAAAGAAAGGAAATGCCCCTTCCCTGATCACCACTAAGGACTATAAATCAGGAACAGGAGCATGCAATACGGTGCATTTATCAAAAACGTTATTACATACCCGGAAACAGCCTCGTTTTACACAACAGCTTCCCGCGGGGAATATTAGGTTACAGAATGTCATTTGGTCAAAACAATAGAGCGAGCCAAGGACAACCTAAGCCCCACTGACACCCAGGCCAAGGCATTCACAGCAGGATCCTCTTGGTAGGAATAGAACAGAGCACAGGCACCTTCATTTCATAGACGTGAAAGAGAGCGTGGCAGTACTCACCAGGGCTGCAGGGGAGCTGCTGTGGTGGGGGAGATGGGATCCAGTTGGCAGCCTTGGCACCGAGGATGCTGCGGCTGGTTTGTGCCACCCCTGTGCACACAGCCATGTCCAGCTTCATCCCTGCAGAGGGAGAAAGAAAGAAAGAAGAGCCATTGAGCTTTCCCTCCTAGGCACAAGAGACTGCATTCTTCAAGTGAAAATCACGCATTATTGAGCTCATCACGGAAACACAGCTCACTCCGGGCTGCAGCACGCTGCTTGTACCACGCAGGAGAAATGACAGGCAAAGTGCTATTCTGGGATGTTTGATCAAATCTTGCATACAGCAAAGTAAGGTTGCCAGCACCTTACTGGCTTTTAAACATTTCTCCTGAGAAAGGTTTCCCTGTTTCACTACTCAAGGGATGCAGAAGCTGAATCCTGGCCTCTGCAGGACGTGGTTTTATGGCTAATGTCCAAGTGGTGCCTCAGGAGCTCTGCCCAGCACAGACCTTGCACTTCACAGAACAAAACGCCATCCCTGCCCTGCAGCAAGGTCTGGACCTCGGCTGCAGACCAACAGGTTGCCATCACCAGGAGACAAGCCTGGCGAGCCTTTTAATAGGGCAGAAAGGGCTCTGCTCATGAAACCAGGTTGTGTCTTGAGAGACTCCACGGCTGAATTCTTTCCCTGGTTTCTAAAATCGGAGTGAAATCACTTCTGTTCTGCAGACCCCAAGGGTTTTCCACACACCTAAAGTGCACTTCTCAGCTGGCTGTGGCACTTCCTGGTGTGCTTTCTGCTCGTGCCAGAGATTGGAGCTGCTAGGGACAATGAGGGGAAACATTTGGTCTCTGATCAGTGCTATTGCTTGGAAAAGAATGGAAGACAAATTGCTTTAGTGTCCCACACAATGCAACCCAGATCCTAAGTCCGGGTAACCCCTGCCTGCCATCCCTGCAGGAAGGGCGACGTTAAGGCACCGAGCAGTGCTTTCAGGTCCAGCTTTAGCTATGAGGTTATGCAAAAAGAACAGCTGATTTCCTGTTCCTTTCTTTTTTTCCATGATAAGAAAGCTTCAGAAAGCAAAAAGCATGAACCAAAGGTGCTCATTTGGAAAGCTGGACTTGTTTGCTCTAAATCTTAGGACCTGAGAGTCAGTGACACTTGGTGGCTGCTCTGCTGCTAGTTCTGAGTCCTGCAAGTGAAAAATAGCCTTCTGAAGCCAGCACTAGACTCTCCTTTGGGGTGAAGCTGGCTAGATTTGTACCAATGACACTAGATCTGTTCTGACTGAGCCTAGGAGGGGACCTGGCCATAGGCACGTTAGAAACAAAACGGTTTTTCCCTTGTATGATATCAAGCTGGAAAAATTCTCCTGGTAGCAGCCGAAGCTACTGGTGGGTTGAAGCAACTGGGAATGAATCTGAACTACGGATCCAGTCTGTATAGTATATTTTTATATATATATTTATAAATCAAACCTCCCCAGCAAACCGTTGAATATTTTCTAAGCTGCTTTCCATGCCCGTGAATTAGTGGGCTACCAAGTCAAAAGCAGAAATTCTCCACCCTCGGCACACGGAGCCCAGAGGAAGTGGGAAGCCCAGCGAAGGCACACACATCGACCGGCCCCACAGAAGCCACGAAAACCAAGCACAAAACACCATGGGTCTCTTGCACATTTAAAGGCATGTGGCTGAAGGAACCCTGCTATCTTTGTATCTGTGGACCCAGCGCTACCCAAAAGCTAAAACTTGCCACGATTCCCTGCGCTGTTTTTCCATTACCAGCAAAGCCAGAAATAGTCACCTCCTCCACCCCCAAATGGCTAGAAGCACTACAGATATTACACAGCAGGCTATTTCAGCTCCCCGAGAGAGGCCAGAGCTATTCCTTGCCCCTTTAATAAGCCTGAGAAATCAGGCTTGGTGCAAGGAACAGGGGGGAGGAAAAAGAGCCCGAATTTTTCAAGCCGTATTTGTGCCTCGGGAGGTTTTTTCCCCACTCTGTCTCCTTCCCGTTCGCTTTCCCTGGGGACCCCTCTCTCCCAGGCAGCACCGAGTGGCAAGGCAGAGGGGTCTTCTGTGCACAGCTGAGGGCTGGCAGTGTTGTGCCATGATAGAGCCTCTCTCCATCCTCTGCTCCAGCACCTCCACTCTTCAAAGGGCCTTTTCTCCAGGACACGGCATGTTGCTGAGAGCCGGGAAGAGGCCAGGCACCTCCCTTGCCCCGTGCAGAAGACAGAAGATGTTGTTGTCTGTTTGCCAAGTGGAGGAACCACGAGCCTTTGGGAAAAGCTCCCGAGCAATGACCTAGCCTGAGAAGATGACTAAGCTGAAACAGCTTCAGTGGTTCCTCTTCTCCAGCAGCATCAAGGAGATAGCACTGGAGTCAGGCTGGTGGCTCTCCTCCAGGCACAGCAAGACGGTGTGCCTTTGCCTCATCACCATTTCCAGTGAATCCTAGCATCTATAAATAAATAGCACAGCATCCACGTCCTTTTGGTAAGGGCTTAGAGAGAAATTAAGTCTCAGAAATTGTGCAGCAGCTCCTCAGGGTAAAGGGAAGACAGGTAGCCAAACAGATCCGTAATAATCTCTCAGCCAGCGTCCTTGGAAGACCGTCACGTGGAGAAAGGAGAAAAGGGCTGAGACAGGAGGGGGCTGGAAGCAGCGATGCGGAAATGAAGACAAAGAGCTCAGGCTCAGGATCCACTTTGTGCAGTAACAACGTCGGGAAGAAACTCAGATCCTTCTCACGCAGAGATATTCGAGTGGCTGGGTCGGGGAGGATGCATCTCCGCGCAGCTGGTCGCACCCGCGCCCCAAGCTGACCACTTCACACAGGGATAAAGGTCTGGTTGTGCTCCCTGCACAGGGCTGAGCTGCCCTGGGCTTGGCACATGCTCATGCACTCGCACAGCTTCTGGATCAGGGGTGGCCTCATCCTGCCAGCTGGAAGCGTGGTCCGAGCGCAGCTCTGCCCGCAATCTTTCAGATGGACAGGCTCCAAGGAGGAGGGTTAGACGGGATTTCTCACCCCAGCACCTGGTAGTATTTCCCTCAGCTTATCCACAAAGATCTCCTGCCTGTATTTAACTCCTCTTCAAGACCTACCACCCCCGTTACACCTTGGAGCTGCACCCTGCGTAACCCGCAGGGGTTTGCTGCCCTGACCCCGTTGTTCTGCCTGCAGCTGGGCAGCGAGCTCCCGGAGAGGAACCCTTCCTTGCAGCAAGCTCAGCTCTTGCTGGGAACACTGTGAATAAAACAATCACATTTATAAGAATCTCAGCCCTAGAGGATCAGGTCTGAAAGAGCACGGGGGGCTGGAGAGGTTGTCTGCTGCCACGGGGCTGTGCCTAGAGGCTGCGGCAGGGCTGCTGCTCCTCGCTGTTGGATGGGGCTGGCACCCACCTCCTGCTCCCCCATGCAGCATCGCCACCTGGCCGAACAGCCGGTACCTCAGTCTCATCCTTGCACTCAAATTCCACCAGATAAGGGACCGACAAAAAAGCAGACGACCTATTTTTGTTCCTTCGGTAGAGGCAAGGGTCTTATTTTAACAGCTATGAAAAACCCCTCGGAGATTTTATCCCAACTAGGTGCTAGTCAGGAAGCAACTTCTGACATTTTTAAGGCACTGCAAAGTGCAAGCAAAGGCAACTATTTCTGTCAAAGCCAATGACCATATACATTAACTGACAAGTTTTTTTTTAATGACTAAGCAAATGTAGCCCATACGATGCATGCAAATCAGCAGAGGGTCACTGCAGCTTCTGTAATTGCCTGTCAGTTTACTCCCCAGGGTCTTGGGCAAAGTCCTTGAATGTCTGGGCATGAGAGCTTTGCTCAGAGAGCATCACTAGATAAGCATCTTGAAGGAGAATGGGATCTATTATCTCCCTCTGGCTGCATTTAACAGGAAGCACTGGGGAGAACAAATTCCCACTGTAGATGGGAAATGGAATAGACAGCACTGAAAAATGCAGAAACCACCGCCCAGACTGAACATGCCACATCCCTACAAGACAACCCAAGCTATTTTGTGTGCTGGAACCCTGAGAAGTGCCCAGCATGACAGGCAGGGCTGTGACAATATCTCCTAGGCAGTGAAGCACGGGCATTTTCCTTCCTGCTCCCAGCCAAAACAAGAGGTGCCGTTCAGCTGGTAGCCAGGGATTCTGCACACCCATTCTTTCCACCCCACAGCCCGTATCTTGTGAGTACCAAGAGGGATGTTCCAGTTTTATTTACCCTTGGAAATGGACCCCAAAAAGCAATCTTGCTTGCAGACTACAGGAATGTCCTTGCTGCAGCCTGAGGGCATGAAGCAGTCCCAATGCCAACATCTTTCTGGTTTTGGCAGGTCTTACTCGATTCTGAATACTACATCTTCCCCATCCCTTCAAGCTTTCAGCGACGGAGCTCTGGAGAGAAGGCCGCAGGAAGACCAGGGGCCTGGGGACACGGGGCCACTCACCATCATCTGCCAGAACGTGCAGGTAGGAACCCACACGCACACCCAAATCACACACACTTTTCATGGCAAGCCTCCAGCAAACGTTTTTTTTTCCCCAAAAACTTATCCTCTTGTCTCCTTTCGCTGCCTGCCTTGGAGGTCTCAGCTTACAGTTCTCTATGAGCTTTTGAATGGTGCAAAAAACCACGAGCACAGAAGACATCGCTGTCCCTAAACCTGCTCTTCACAAGGAGAGGCAGGGCCCCATCCTCTGCTTGTTTTAGCAGTTCTCTAACAGCCTAAATACCGACTTCAGAAGAGTTTCCTGTACCTGCATCTGCGCTAGGCTTAGAGCAAGGGCTGTCTGGCCCTGAGTGCTGTTAGTGAACCAAACCTCAGAAAAATACTTGCACTTTTACGCAGGTCAAACATCCTGTCATTTCTCTTCCAGCCGCTGAGAATAAGCAGTCAGCCAGGGCCTCAGAAGCGCTGCCTTTTTGTCTGCAGACACGGGGAAAGAATGGATGTCGTTTTTGGGAAGTACTGGTTGTCACAGTGCTTTGATGCCAAAGGTGAGTCAGCTCCTGCGGGTCTCTCAGGCTGCAGGTTTAGGGAAAGGAAAGGGAACAACAACTGCCCAGGGCAAAGCCTGGATGGGAGCCGTGGTTTCCTGACCTCAGGTGGTGCTTCGAGTGTTAAATCACTGGTAGGGCTGTGCCAGGAGCAGAAACAAAAGCCAGGGAGTACACACTGTGTTTGCTGATATTTAGGCTCCTTTCTTGCAACACTTTCCTATTAAAGGAGTCCCACCAAAGGGCACTTTCATGTGGAAATGAAGTCGTGATGCTGATGGTCAGTGTCCAACACTAACCCCAGTGCAACCAGGGAAAGCTTCCTTTGTACAACTGGTGCTCAGTCCTAAATGAGGACAGCACCACTACGGGTACGGCTCAGAAAGCCTTTCAGGGCATAAGTTGGAGATTGCAAGCTGATAATATGCAAGCAAGTCCTGAAGGCTGAATCTGGCACAAGCCTCAACACACATACACATGCTTGAATTCTGGACTACAACTACAGACCATAATTTCAGGCTCCATTGGTTTTAGATCTGACTGGAAATCTATCAACAAAGACTTTTTCTAGTTGAGAAACACCAATTTCTTGTAGCCAAAATTCTTGGAAAAAGGGATGATTTTACAACTGCCTTCTTTCCAAATTACATCTGAAGAGCTCTGATGTTTGTGCCTCCTGTAAGAGCATAAAATTAGGGGTTTCATTTGGTGTGGGATGGAAATTATTTTGCTTCTGGTGATTAAAGACCTGTCCTAAAGCTAACTTGAAAGGATAAGTAACATTCTCTGCTGATTTTGACCCGATACATCTGCTTAGCTTAATTTTGCCAGCTTCTTGATAGCTCTGCATGGGAAAAAGTGCTCGACAGCCCGTGGCTGTAAATATGCAGATGTTGTGGTGACAGAGGGTGGAAAGAGGCGTGATGCTCTCTGCCTCTCTTTTATCTAATAATTCCAGCAACTGCTTCTGACCTCTCCCTCGCAGGAAGGTACATGCGTAGTAACCTGAATATGCCTCACAGCTTACCTCAAAGAAGCGGCGGTTTCAGGGATTATGAAAAAGACGCGCCCATCACCGTGCTGGGCTGCATGCAGGCAAGGCTTGTTGGTAAGTTGTCCCCAGCCGACGGGAGTTTGCTCAGGAAGCTTTGCCCTCTTCCTCCCACACACCCCGCCAAAGAAAGAGAAAGTGCAAGGCGGAAAAAATGACTCAGGAGCCCGAAACTAACGGGATTTAGGTGTTTCAAGAACACCTGCAAAGTCCCTTCAACTCCCCTGGCAAGTCCCCTCTTTCAAAGAAAACTTTGTCTGATTCAGCTGCTGCAGCTGAAGAAAAGACAAAGCAGGAGATCTGGGCCATGCTATAAAATCACGGCCATGAGCAGTACAATCACGGCGTTTGTTACTGCCCTGTACATGGGCTGCACTGGAAATGCTGCTACTGCCGATGCCACTGTTAAAAGCAGCTCTGAACGTGAGGGTCACCCCATGCAGAATATCTTTCCTTGATTATGACAATCTGAATTTTGATCTGTAGTTCGCTAAGCCAATATACTTTTAGCAGCCTCTCTGGCTTCAGGTATATGTGGCAAAAACACAGTCCAAATTATTTCTGGTATGTCCCCGATTCCCCATCCTTGTCCCCGGCTCCTGAGCCTGTTGGTTTGTGTATAGAGAGAAAATTATTCAGTAGTGAAGGAGCAGATATTGAGCACTGGGATTAAAGAAGGCCCTGAAAGGACGTGAGCTTCAGCGAGCAGCACTTAGCATCTTCCCAAATTCAAATCCTTCGCGTTGGTCACACTCAAACTAGGGCAGCTAAAATTCCCCTTGCTCTTTAAACAAAAATAAATCACCGCACAGTGCTGCAGGACGATCGCTCCCCAGGCCGTGTGGCTTCAGGGCTGGCAGCGTGCACGGAACAGAAGGCGAATCTGGGAGCCATCACAGCACACGTTGCTGCTATCGTTACACGGGGCCGAGCACGCGGCCGCGTACGTGACCCAGGCGCCACCAGCCATCTGCAAGCACCAGCTCCCACTGCAGCACCGTGGACTTGACCTTGACGGCTGCTGGAAGCGTAATTCCTCCTCCGACCAAAGCAAATGAGCAGCATCCCCGTGCCAGGAGGCTGCTGCACGCACCACTCTTTCTAAATTGCCCCACTTCTCTCAAGAGATTTCGAGCTCCTTCTGACATGGTTAGAGCCATCGTTAAACACGTGGAGTCGAGGTTAATAACCCCTTCTCACTCCCACCTTTGTGCCCTGCCTCTTCAAACAGAACAAAAACATAACTCACTGCAAGTCCATGCAATGCTCCCGTTCTCATTCGGCTCCCTTAGGCTTTGCAAGAATATTAATAACCCTACTAGTGGAGTTGATTCTTATCTCATTTGCAGTGATCTTCCACCTGTGTAATGAAATGGTAATTTATACCAGCAAAGAATCGAGCCAATTGAATTAAGTTGGGTCTGAATTAAGTCGAATCATTCTGATTTACGACTTAGAGATGAAACTAAATGAAATTCAAGCTCGCTACTATTTTTCTCAGCGCACTGTTTGCTTTTTGGCTAAATGTAAGGGGACAAACTGAGCAAAAGCTGCTGCGCTTTCTCTGCATACCAGTTAAGCAATAAAATACCATGGGTACACTCACTTCCTAAAACATTAGCAGTGCAGCTGGGAAGCTTCTTTAGCTCCTTGCAGGGTGGCAGATACCTGCACCCTGCTGTTACGGTGCCATTTGTCTGTTTTTATTCATGGGTGTTAAAACTTGCTTGCAGGTGAAGCCTTGCTAGAAACTAATACCATTGTAGACTACATCTACAGCTCCCCGTCCCTCCGGTGTGTGCAGACAGCACACAACATCTTGAAAGGTAAGGACCCATCAAGCAGGAAAGGCTGCATTCTTCTCACTTTCTGGGAAAAACCACTGCCAACCAGATAAAAGGCAACCTGGCACGGGGAACAGAGCAAATGGTAATTCGGGGGGAGGATTATTTCCATGGGAGTGTACTTCACCCATCTGCAAGGAGCCCTTTTCTTGTTGTATGGTGTGCCAGGCGTGTAGGGAAGTGGTGTGCTTGAAGTGGTTTGATGGCCCCATCGCCAGCTGTGGGTCCAGGTTGGGATTTGTGTCCCCTGCAGAAACCAGGGGTGTGCAGGGGCCACATCCAGCTCCGCGCTCCTGCAGCTTCTCGGTGCTGCATGAGGAAGAGTAATGCACTGCTCAAACTGGGAAGGGAAATGGTGGTGGGGCATCACCTCTCCTGGCATTGAGGCAGTTGTAAAAAAGGCTCCAAAACGCAGTCACACCTAGGTGACTGCATGGAATTTGCCGCCCAGAGGTTTACACGCCTTTGTGCATCGTATGCCAAGTGCATAGATCAACCGCTTCCTCTTTCCACTGCTACTGTTAACCAACTACTGAGCAAGAAAAGATCATTTATAATCAAACTTAAGTATTAAAGCTGCCAAGTCTCACTGCCTTCCTCCCCAGATGCTGTCACTGTCTCTTCTCTCCCTCCTCCAGGTATGCAACAAGAGAACAACCTGAAAATTCGAATAGAGCCGGGCTTGTTTGAATGGACCAAGTGGGTCTCTGGGAACACACTACCTGCTTGGATACCCCCCATGGACTTAGCTGCAGCTACTCTAAGCGTTGATACAACCTACAGGTAGCAGAAAGGGGGGTGAGGGGGTGGTGGATGGCTTTGGGGATTTGTTTATCCCCTTTATCCATTGTGGATACGTGGATACATATCCATTGTGGGTCCATGGATATTTGGGATTTGGTTTTAAAGAGTAACATTCTGCTGAATTTGTAAATTTAAGCAGTGCCTGGAAGAGCTGCTGGAGCTCCCAGAATGAACTTAAAGCAGGCTGGAGGCTGCTGTGTTAAACACAACCTGAGGATACCTTATTATAAACCAAATTCCCCAGGGCACTGGCAAGGTGCAGCTTACTGCTGATGATGGGGGCTCTCGTTCCAGCCCTCCTTCCTTCCAGTGCACCTTTCGCATGCCCAGGAAATCCTCAAAGTTTGTTGGTTTGTTTTTTTTTTTAAGCCCTTTTCCTAACACTTAGGGGTTTGATGAACCCGGGTAAGGCTGTGCTGCCTTGATCTGGAGTCTGGAGGAAACAGCAGAACTAGTTTTGCTGACTCAGTGCACTGACCATCGTGTTTATGGGCTGAAATCACATCATGGGTTCCGTAACGCCTGCCCTGCCCTTCCCCAGGGGAAAAAGCTTGTCTGTTTGTCTGTCCTGATTAGCGTGGTGAGGGATCTTAGCTGGAAATTTTGCAACATCCTGGGGAGCACGTTTACATCTGCCGGGAATGCAGGGTCTCCTGAATCATCAGAATTCAGAGATTTGATATCAAGGAGGTGAACACAAAAGATTCATCACTCCTCAGTAATTATTTCTACTTTCTGGTTAAAAAACATTTGAATGGTGAATGGGTAAAGACCACCAATCTCTCCTCGGGAAAATATATAGATGATTTGCTCAGCTCCAGCAGTGTGGAGGTGACCTGCCTGGTGCTCAGCAGCTCTGCTGCTCAGCCCTGTGGCTGCCGGATCAGTCCTGGTGCCTGGTGAGGTGCCACATCCCCAGCTCTCTCTGCCATTCTGCCCTCAGCCCAGCACACACATTTTACATTTTTTACCGTAAACCGCACCGAAAAAGGCTAAATAAAACCCAGCAGAAATTGCCATGTGGTAAAGGACAGACAGGATGATCTATTCGGGCTTCCTACTCTCAAATTTATGATTCACTTATGCAAGCCAGGCTTGAAGAGCTCCCAAAAAAAAAGAAACTCCCCAAAGGTCGCACGCTTCCAGTCCTCCACCACCAAAATATCTGTGTCACTATGACTTCTCGCAGAGACCAGCCCTTTCTATTTTGGCACGAGCCTGATCGCAGGCTGAGCAGTCTCGGGTGAAAACAAAACCTTTACAGCGCACGCAGAGCGCACACACACGGGACTTCCACAGAAATGGGCTTGGTGACAAACATTTTGTGTGTCAGCTTTTGTGGTTTGTGATATCACCAGAACCGCTGGTGTTTCCCGTAGTCCCAGCACACCCGGCTGTTTAAGAACATTCAAGTGAAGTAAGCAGCTGAAACGTTAAAAAAACCTGATTTTTTCATGCCTAATTATACCGTGAAGCCACTTGAGTTACATCCCTCTGGTCTGCAGCTGAAATTCCAGCACAAGGGTATCTCAGCAGAGGTCCTCGCGCTGTGTTTGGCCCTGAAAGGCTCTCACGTGGCTCAGGCTCAGCACAGCAGCTGGACCAGGAGCGTGGCTGCTCCACAAAGGAATATTCTCAGCATAAGGAAAGAGCCTGCTTGTGTGTGGTCAGCTGCTTAGGTGGGGGGTTAGGAGACATCCTCCTGGTGCTCTCTCCTCCTGTCACACGGGTGATTCCTGTGCACATCTCAGGTCACTGAACAGAGGGGAAAGATGCATCTTTTCCCTGCACCATGGCATGAAAATACAGCTTTCTGCTTCCTATCCTGTGCTGCTCTGCACACATCAACCTGCTCCAGCTGGAACAACTGGCTGGAGCCCCATCGGGCAATTCACTTAAACGCCCTGGCCCAGGAGGAGGCCGGCTAATTCCAGGCATTTCCCAGCAATGCAGCTTTACAGACAGCCAAAGCAGCAGCTTGCCCCTGCCCTTCAGCATCAAAGCACACGAGTACCAAGGAGAGGCAGCATCTGCCTGCTCCAGGCACTGCAGCTCTCCTGAAGCAGCCACGGGTGTTGCTGCCCACCCTCCGACCAGGCTGCAAGCCCTGGCAGCACAATACATTTTGTCCTCCTGCCCTTCACTCCCTTTATTTGGGTGGATGAACCCTGAAATCTATTGATCTAGTGTGTAAATGCAAAGTGCTATTGCCATTGCTGCATGGCATAGCCAAAGTAACACGTTTGGAATCAGCACGTTACAGGCTGCCTCCTCTGACTTGTCCACAGGAGAGGAAACATTTTCTTAATTTCCCCACTAATCAAAAATGTCTTACTGGAAAATAGGGAAACATCTCGGTCTGGAGGTTTAAAAATCCTCATAGTGGTCCTGACACTGAGCTCTGGGGACCTGGGAAATTAGAAGAGTTAAATACATGAGTACGCTCAGAGGAATCATCACTCGCACTTACAACTTTAGCTCTTCTCCTAATTTACCATTCTTGTTTTTCTGCTCGCAGACCTCATATTCCCGTCAGCAAGTTGGTGGTTTCTGAATCTTATGATACGTACATAAGTAGAAGCTACCAAGTAACAAAAGAAATCATCAGTGAATGTAAAGGCAAAGGTAAGTGCTCCAGAGGGGATGAGAAAGGCTCCCCGGGATGTGAACGCTGATATTCCTCACCAGTCCTTCCCTCTTCAGGGAGGTGAAACCCCATAACCAAATCTCCCATCCCCTATCCCAGAGGGGTTGGAAACGCCAGGTGAAACTGTGTGTGGCAGAGCTGAGTTTAGATAAGCTCAGCCTACAGGAAAGCTCCTTCAGCTTCAGTAGCAGAATTATTTTTCAGACACCAAGACAATGCAAACAGTCTTCTTCCAGGGAATAAATAAGCTATTGGCACCCTGCTGTCTGTTACCAGCATCACACGGGGCATCTGCCACCCCCTATCTGTGCTATTCTTCTGTAATATATAACCCATGAAGACTGCAGAATGTTTCTCCAAATGCAACAGTGGAATAAAAAAATCTCTAGCTCCTATTTTGCATTCACAGCATGGGAACAGGATGTTCCAAAATTCTGGGGATCTCATTAATTTCATCTCGCTGATCCGTTTCCAAATTCTAAACCTTTCATTTTAATAGTTTGCACACAAGCCTTGATAGCACTGTGCAACATTGGGCGTAAAGGATCTTGGAAATGGAAATCTAAAGCAAATGGGGTGAAAAAGCAGCAACTGAGATTAAAGTGCTTGTCTTAATCAGAATTAATTTTTAAATAGAAGAAAAGTGTTTTTTCACAGGACAGGTGGAGTCTCACTGCAATTCCTGTTTTCCTCAGCAAGGCCATTTTAAACATAAGTAGCACAGAGCTTATCCTGAAAATTGAGAAATGCTCTGAACAAGTCATTAAACCATGCCTTATCCCACATTCACATAATTTAATGAGATTTTAAATAACAAACTGAACCTGTTTGGAAATTTTTTAATGGTCAGCTGCATCTCGGGCACCCGTCCCTAAAGCTGGCTTCCTCTCCCAGCTCAGCCTGCGTTTCTCGCTGTATTTCAGGGAATAACATCCTGATAGTGGCACACGCGTCCTCCCTGGAGGCCTGTACCTGCCAGCTCCAAGGGCTCTCGCCGCAGAACTCCAAGGACTTTGTACAGATGGTCCGAAAGGTAATTACCAGCGAGGGGTAAAGCTCACTGGCTTTAAAAAGAGAGAAAGCAGCCTGCAATCTGCTTAACCAGGCAGAGGACACTTTGTTCCTCTCGACTGATCGCTCAGCCTGTTACTGGGTTTCACTCACTTCAGAAGTCACGAGAGGAAAGCGGATCAGTTAAAGGGGCTTATCTTGACGTGTCGCTTCTGTAACAGATAGCAGGGGATACGATGCTCACCTACAGCTGGCACCCAGTGCCACTGCTACAATCCCGTAGGTACCAGGCTGTACAGAACACCCCAAGTGCCATCCAGCACTAAAACCACCCCAACCAGGGCACTTCTCCTTCCTACAACCCTTCCCTTTCTCGTTCTACTCCAAACAGCTGTTCACAGGCAGGAAAAAAGCCTGAAAACGATAATGGGGTCTCCTGCATTCATTCCTTTCCTCCAGCCCTGCAAAAGGCTTTGGCATCTGCCAGCCTTGTGGACACTCTCTAGGATATTCACAGCTGATCTGAGCACCCCCAAAAACAACCTCATCCATATTTCCCCTTCATACCTGCACTGGCCTTTGGGGTTTGAGTCTACGCCAGCCAACATAACACCTTTGGTTTGAACTGAACGTGTTTAAGCTACCTTACAAAACCATTACCTGTTTCCCCCAGTGTTTTACGTGTACAATGCTGCATGAAATCTGGCCGTCACGCCAGAATCCTACAGTCATCTCCTGCAAATGGGCTTTGGGGAGAGGGAGAGAGAGACAAGAGCCTCTCTTTAGGAGCACAGGAGCTCCATGTGCAGTTCAATCCCTGCTTATTGCCTTTATTTCCTTCTCTCCGCACAGATTCCCTACTTGGGGTTTTGTTCATGCGAAGAACTAGGGGATACAGGTGTTTGGCAGCTTACAGACCCCCCCATCCTCCCTCTCACACATGGACCAACTGGAGGCTTTAACTGGAGAGAAACCTTACTACAGGAATAGGAAAACCCACGGCCTTTCTAAGCGTCGGAGAATGTCTCTTCGTTCTTGTGTTTATTGACAGTGGAGTAGTCCTACCATGTTACGTGGATCACACAAACAGCTCGTCTAGCATATCTCTTACACGGCCAGAGTCACGCAAAAATGCTCGTATACAACTAGGCAAATGCAAAAGGGACTGATTTGGAGAAAAAAATATTAAAATATAGGTTGAACCTCTTGCACTGCAGGGAATCTCTGTTCAGTGAGTTGCTCGGGTAAGTTTTCCCACCTTGAATGGAGCTCTGTTAACACCAGTACCATGTACTGCCTTCTGCACCCTGCTAGTAACAACTAGCACTGTGTGAAAGGCGAGCATTCAGGATGTGTTTGGGTTTTTTTTCGTTGCTATTTTTTGCAAAGCATTAGCAGGCTTGCTCAGGACCACGTGTTGACACCCTCCTCGCTCACAACCCCCAAGTTCTCAGCACCGTTCACAAAGCCTACCACCACCAGCTGGAAATGAGAGGTCAGCGTTGCCTCTGCAGGCAGCATCAGATTGTTTCTCTCCTCTGTCTCGGCCCTGGGCTAGGTGTGTGCATACTGTGGATGCAAAGATTGACACTGATCTGCAGCAGAAGAAAGATCTGAATTTCACATCACTTACAGATGAAGCTTGCACATCAAAAGCCAGCACCGTTGTGAACAATGACCGGGAGCTGTTGCTCTTAAGTGGAGATGAAATAAGCCTGTTCCAATCAAACCTGGAGGATGTAGAAAGGCTGTTTTGTTTTTTATTCCCCTTTTATTTAAATTATTGAAATCCACTCTTGTGCACAGACCCAGCCTAAAGTGTCTGTGTCACTTATATCCCCTGAAAAAGGGCTTTGCCTTTTCTGCCGGGTTCTTGTGCTGGTCATTTGCACAGTGGTGGTTTTCTGCTCCTCCTGAGGTTTTCTGTCAGCCCTGATAAGGTTCTGCAGCAGGCAGCTTTCTTAAGTGGGTAATGCTAAAGTCAAAAAGGCGGCACTGAAATTCGGCCTTGGCTGCAAGCTTGCCTTCCTTTCGTTAACTCCTAAGTGCCATCTGTCGTAAAGACAAAGCAGAGCTGAAAAAACAGTACACTGAAATTTAGGAGCAGCGTGCTTTGTCCTATTAAGATGCTATTTATCCAGTTTCTTTATCCAGGTTTCTTTTAAACAATATTACCTTAAGTCTTCTGTCCTGAATCAAAAATTTCCTGCAGACATTTGTATGGCTAACTTTAAGAAGGTACTCGAAAATGTGTGTAAATGGGGTAAAAAAGGATTTGGGCATACTCCTTTCTTGGCTTGGAGCATAATTCTGAATATTCCCAAAATAACATCAAAGGCAGTTCAGAAAAGATTCTGGCATCCTAGAGTTCCCCTCTTCTGTCCATGTTTCCTCCTGCAGCAAGCGTTAGTATCCTTATTTAAAGTGTTTGTATGGCACAGGGGTTTATACCAGCCAGCTTTGGCAAAAGCATATTAGTCATAGACAGATCAAAGTTTGTTTTTGGGTGAGTTTCTTTTACCCCATCAAGCCTTTGGCAGGACTGGCCTTACCTTCAGTTGGAAAAGATGGGGCTGCACATTCAGTAGGCAGAACAAGCAAGGAGCCATAAACTGCAACCCCTCGTTCCTAAATAAAGTCAAAGCCCCTGCAGCTGGGATGTAAGGGGATCCCTTAAGAGATCCCTTAACAGGATGTAGCTGAGCTCTGTCGCTGCTTTAACAAGTCAATCTTGGGCTTGCCAGGGCAAGTATAGAAAACACTGTACAGATTTTGAGTCAGGAGAGAGCTCATCCTGTGCAATATGGTCACGATCCATGCCAGTAGTCCGTTATTTATACATTTATGACTATGTGATGCTCAGTAGGCCACTCATAAGTGCATTATGATTCCAGGGATGTATCCTAAAAAGTCAGGGAGATAACTTATGAGATGACAGAAGGAAACTGCTCCGGTGCAGTTACACTGCTGTCACTTTAGTTCTTAAACTATAATTTAAACTATTCTTGGCTGTGTACAGGCATTGTGAAGAGCACTTCTGGCTTGTTTTCCTCCTTGCTTACTCACTGCACATTTGCAAAGAGTTTCTTTAAAACTAACTAGGTGACAATCACACAAAAACTGATTTGGTTACTGATACAGGTGTGATTCTCCAGGTGGGGTTTTGTTTCATGCTATGGGTCAGCAAGATGTGAGTAGGGATGCCAAATATCACCTATACAAAACAGTACAGGCTACTTAGGTCCTATTGCAGATAAGCCACATTACAAAGAACTTATTTTGACAGAAGCATGAAACAGAGAGGGAACAAAAGCTGAAGGCACAATCTGAATATTGTACTAGCAGATCTTTGCATATAATGAGTAATACAAAAAAAAAGTACTCTGTTTTAGAAGGTAGAATGTGTTAAAATACTCTCTTCTTAAAAATATATATTTTTGGATGCTTGGGAAAGTATTTTGACAATTGTAGTCTTACCTGCCATTAGATTTTTCAGGTGTCAAAAGTCTCAGAAAGAAAATTTTATTTTCTTCCAGCATTTGGATTTCTCCTAGGTGTTTTGTGTTAAGTGTTCTCATGTTGCTAGGGCTAACTGGGGGGGGAAAAAGTAAGAAACATGTTCCTTTTCAATTTTTAATTAAGATGTTAAGAATACAAAACAGTTGCTGCTTCACTTCCACTCCGCTGCTGCTCATTAATGTATATTTAACATCGCTTCAGGGTTTTGTCCCAGAAAAACGTTAGGCTTGATCTGCCTGAAGTGGGTGCAAGTCTTCTTACCATAACTGTGAGCTGCTTCGGATCCTAAGAGTTCAACTAGGGTGTAGAAGGCAAACAGCAGTTCCTAGATTTGTCCTCTTTTCCCAATTAAGGAATAAAGCTGAAAACCTGCCAAGAATAAACTGTTCTTCCAGTATTTCCATCAACTGTAACTTAAAAGGTTGGACTAGAAAAAGACATGGATCAAACTCTAGCACAGCAATTGCTGATGGGATGGCACTCAGCAGCCAGAGGGGCAGAACTGGCACATTTGACCAAGCTCAGATTTGACCAAGTCTTTGCAAAGGGCCTGTACCCCTGGACTTGATATCTCCCTGTGCTGAAGTAGCTGGGGGGAGACCGCAGCTCGTCCCACCCCTGTTGACTCGAGCTCTGCTATGGATAACTTTCTAGCTTAATACAGATCCCAGGTCTAGAGTTTCATGAACTTACCTTACATTTTGTGCAGTGGTAGCTACAGCTAAATGCTTAAATAGTCTGAGCACGGGGCCAGGTCCTCAGCAAGTGTAAATTGCCCCTGTATACTCAAATCAACAGAGCTTTGCCTCTTTACATAAACTGAGGATGCAGGTCATAACTTCAGAGGGAAAAAAAAGAATCATTTCCCTTTTCACTCAGTCTGAACAGTGTCAGAAAGAACAGGCAGCTGATGTTAAGAGCCTCCTTTCTTCCTATTGTTAGCTTCTAGTATCAATGTTACTCTGAAAATGACGATTTACATCACCAGACAAGCAGTTGTTTAAATAATTCTGCAGGAATTGTTCTTTGTGAAGGCAATGAGAGGTAATTCTGCAAAACGAAGAGGCTACAAGAGATGCTAGAACGCTACTGCTCAGTGTAGTATTTTGTATCCACAGCCTTGAGTCCCTGGGGTAACAATATCCTAAGGACTTTGGCGTTGTAACCGTTCCCTGTGTGCTCACCACAGCTCTTGGGGAGAAGAGGTCAGAGGACGGGGAAGGGGCTGCCTGGGACGCTGTGACACACTCAGCCTTCCCACTTAGCTGCTGAACTGGGAACAAGGGGTTGGAGACTTCTCCCTCTGGGTCCTCAAGAACGCCTGACCCAGAGCCCAGGGACACAAACAGGAAGATTTCTCCTAATTTCCCCAGGCTTGGGATGAAGCCCCACAAATCCTGGTCCTACCAGAGGCTCCCACCCCTCACCTGCCTTTGGCTTCACAAGGAATACAGGGGAGCCGGACATCAATTTGGGGTTGAGCCCTCCCAGTCCTGATCTGAGCAATGCATAAGAGTGGGGTGAGAGTCTGATTATATTCATGATCATTTCAAAAAGAGCAATGCTAAATAGCTGAGTTAGGCCATAATTAGATAAATCTCATTAAAACCCAGAGCTGGAAATTTGTTTGCAATGCTTCACAACTTAAAGTGCGTTGAAATTCCATAAGAAATGTATTGTTTAGAAAGGAAAGTTTAATAGTTAAACCACAGAAGTGCTTAAATATAGGGGAAATTATTTGAACTTCAAAAATAGATGTGCAGAGATGGTGGGAGCAAACATGCTTAAAACGGTGAATGAATTAAAAAAAATTAGGTGTGATTGGTTGCATCACTAAATTGTTATCTAGTTCTCACCACTTCCTCAAAAATTCATTCCCTGGGGAATATCCAGGAACCATACACACAACATCACAAAATACACAGCCAGTTCCTTTCTATTTCTTCCTATTGAAATGTATTTTCTGAAGTTTCTCTCTGTGGACAGTTCTTAAAACTTGATGTTATCAGTGCATACTTTTTTTTTCCATTTTAAACCTATTGTATCATTCTGTTTATTATGTTTTTTAGTGTGAGCAGATTGTATTTATTTGAGAAAAATGTTTGCTGTTAAAAAAACAATAATTGTATTGCCAAAAATAGCTGTAATTACCTGTGACATCTGTATTTTTTTTTTATTTTGAGGGGTTGGTTGTTTTTAATCTCACCTTCAAGTGCTAACAACTGTTAAAACAACCACTGCGTTTTAATTTGCTTATTACATTAAATGGATTTCTCTGAAGTCAGACAAAAATGCCTCATAGATGATTTAATAAAGATGTCATGCTCCCATGCCTGGCCCTTCCTATTTAAGTTTTCCTCTTTGTGTTGGACTTTGCTGGGGTGAAGAATGAAGGAGAAGGGAACTCGAGTGATTTTCCTCCCTTCACTAAAGGTGAAGTTCATTGATTTGACAGCAGATGGCACAAAACCCCCTTAAGTCTCTATTTCTTCCTGCAGCACAGGGACAGGGTTTTTCCTCTGGGTTAGAGGCAGACAGCTTCATTGTCATCCCTCCTGCTTCATGGCTTTTCCCCAAAAGTTATTTCACTGTCAGGTATGTGGCACTGGGAGCACAACTTTTAAACAAAAGAATTATCTACCTTTATAATACACATCTTCTTCCTTGATTACTGGATTAAAAAATCCAGTTTTTTTAATCAGCTAGTGACTCTTTCCTTTCAAACCAGCTAATTACATTACATTTTATGGCCTACAGCTGTTTTCTGGTAAAACTGATTATATCATGATTATCATAAAAGCCATATATTTTATCAAACATAGACTAATGGAGTGACACTTCCACGCACCTGAAAATTCAATGGAAATAGGTTCTAATGAATTAAAGATGGAATGCAGAATGCGTTTATAATTAACCATTTTGTCCAGTTTACTCAAACTCACGTCCTGCAAATGCAAACTGTTTTAAACCATATTTCCTATCTTATTAAAGATAGAGGGAATTAGTCTTTTGCACTCAACGTTGGGCAGTTACAGAAATCTGCCAGAGGAAGATGTGCTGAAGCCGTTTTGGAAATCAGCACACAACTACAACGTGAAAAGAGGCTCTGCCAACAGAGTCTTGTGGTGATACTGGACATTGTACACCCAGGAAAGAGCTTGGCTATGCCCCAGGTTGCTTGAGAAGGAATCAGGCCAATGCCACTGGTTCTCTAGGACCCCTTGATGTAGCCAGCCCTGCCCCATGCTCAGCGATGAACAGCATAACCTGCAAGTCACCTCCCAAGGCTCTTCGCTCCCCAAAGAGCCACAAACCACACACAGCAAATCACCTTCCCCATCTTCCTCGTTCCCTGCAAGCAGAGCAATGCAAACATCCCGCGCACACAGCAGGAGAAGGTATGGAGTGACTCGAGACTGTTTTTCCAAGGATTAAATCTGCACTGCTGGGTTTTCAAGCAACCTTGTGGTTCCTGCACTCCAGCAGCGCCCAAAAATTCTCTGCGTTCCTGGGTGCCTCCCTCCCCATTGGCAGGAGTCAAATCCTGCATGGTGCCCCTGTGGGATCACCCCAGGCATGTGTTTCTTTTAATCTTTACCTCTGTATGCCTCTCTTCTCCTCTCCCCTGCACAAAGGCTGAATGAGATGGAGGTGGAGGGGCGCAAGGCGAAGTGCCCCCACTCCTGCGGCCCACTAGCTTCATTTCGGGGACCCATGAGGTCAATGATTTCTCAGCTTTCACCGACACGTAGGAAACATGTGAGAAGGGGGGGAAGAAGAGTGGAACAACAGAAAAAAAAAGCAAAGGAGGCAGAGACCCCGGCAGTGATGAAGTCATGGTTAATCTGTTCCCCCCGTGCTGAAAAGAGACCTGCTGCTCGCTGCCCCAGCAGGGAGAGGAAGTCTGCGCAGGCAGCCCGCACTGCCACCACAACATGAATTTCACCACGGCGCTCCACATCGCGGCTCTGCTCCTGATGCAAGGTAAGCAATCTGCTCTTTTTTACCTGCTCCTACCTTTACAGCACTCCAGCTTAGAGAATTCAGTTCCCAGAGCTGCAGCACACCACGCAAGGCAGCTCTGCTGTTGTTTTCTTACTGAGGATGTTGTGTTGTCACCCAGCTCCCAAAGCCAGCTGGTGCAGCAGACAGGGTGCTGAATTCCAGCTGAATCCTAAACCCTGTAGCAGTGAAACCAATTCGCCTACCAGCAGCTGGCAGCACACTGAGATGGCAAAGCCCTGAAAAATTGAGAGGCTCCCTTAAATATGTGCAGCTTACTTTCCATGGCTTCGATATCTGTATGTGCCCTTGTTCACATATTTTTTCTAAGAGGCTAATCTAACAAGCCGGGGTAATTTAAAAAGCACTCAAAGTACTCTGAAAATGAAAAGCACTTTAAATGCTCAGTCTCCTCACTCCTGCTAGAGGATGCATCTTACACCTGCTTTGCTAATCTCCTCTTTCATACACTAGAGAGTGTGAGGTTCACATCTGACCATGTCAAATGTGGAAAGACTTAGGTAAGGAAAGAGACAAAACAGCTTTTGACAGCTCACGATCCTCAGAAGAGTCATTCCTGCCCTTTGCAGGAGGTATGCATCCTCGAGCTTGGTGCTGGCCAAAGTTAGTCTCTCTCCCTTCTTAAAGGCAAAAGCAGAAGCCAAAGCAGTGGCATTGTGGACACTTCGGTGTGATCTCACACACCGAGGGATCATTAACAGAGGCCGTATCAAATCTAAGAGTCCAGACAGCAACAACGCATTTTTTTAACACAGTACGCTTAGGATATTTTCTGATCCCTGATGGTATTTAACAGAGCTCAGGCCTTAACAGGTTGTTAATTATATCCTAGCTAAAACAGTGCTCACAGTGCCCTTTAAACCTGCCGTAAAGCAGCAGCTCCCACTCTTTCTGGGTGTCCAGCCCCAATTCCCCACTATTGTCAGACTGCTGCGCGATGACCACGCTAGCTGCTCTCAGCCATCATTCACAGGACCTCAAGAACCAACCCAGACTGCCACATATCTTTGGCCACAGGTCAAAAATAGCTGATTAGACAGGATGTCTCTGTAGGCTTCAGTTTTAAAGACAATTGTGAAATGATTGAGTGAGCGCACATCCTTGCAACAATTTCTGTACGCGTTTTCTGGTGGCTAACAGAGCAGCAGAGGCTTGAACCATTCTGCTCCGTTGTATCTTGCAATTTCCAGCAAGAAACTATTGGCTTGTCCTACTAAGAAGGTGGACGTATCACTGTAGTTGATCCCAGACCAATTTTTCCAGGTACCCAGGGCACCTGGGATCCACACTGCCCCTTGGAGCTGGCACCCCTCGTGCTTACACTGTGGTGGGTGCAGAGGCTCAAAGACCACAGCCACGTCAAGCTGCCCCCCGTAAGGGAGAAAAATTTGTCCTGTGAGTCATGGTCTGCATGAAGCCGTGGTCTCACATGGAAATTACGTGTATGCTCCACTCTGGGGGCTGCTCTTTTCTGCTTAAGAAAAAAAAAAATAGCAAGCAACACCCCCCACCTTTTCTTGCTCTGCCCTGCCTCTCTCACCTCAAAAGGTGTGACTTACAGACCCCACACTGCTGCGAGCAGCAGGAAGCAGCCCCCACACAGCCACTGTGAAAAGCACTGTGAAAAACCACAGGCAAGGCCCCCTCTGCTGCTTTACCAGCATGCTCCTGTGACACAGGTCTTCACAAGTGGAACATACACGAGGAAATCTCCCTTTTGCTACCACTCCTCTGCAAGCTCCCTCAACTCGCACAAACCCTGAGAAACCAGCAGAGAAGCAGAGGTAGAATTAAAAAAAAATAAATACAAATCAGAGGCACTAGGGAGAAAGAGCCTTGAAAAGGAGAAATCTATTCCTAGGCCATAATTTTTCTGCCATTTTCAGTTTGATTTCCTTCCCCCCCAAATCTAAGGGCTCTTTGAAGGTGGCTACGTTGTCCCATGTACTCAAGTCAAAGGTGAACAACAGCAATAGATACCCATGGGCAACCCCTTTCTTACAGAAAGACAAATCCTTCCTCTGATTTTAGTAGCAAAAACGCCCCAAAATAACTTATTTTCTGTTATATTTTAAAATGTTTTTAAGAAAATGAAAAGCTTTCCTGAAGCCCAGGAAAATTTCATTTCCCCAAACTGCAGCGCGCGTGTACACAACGGGAACTTGCAGCAGGCAGCTACCTGAAAATAAAGTCAAAACACACAAAACAGGAATGAAAAATAAAACCCTCTTACTGCCTATTTACTTAACTCTGACCAGGGCACTGCTCTTAGTAATTTCTCCAGGGCATGCTTTTTCTGGAGAAGGCAATTCATTCCAGGCCATCAAATATTTTCGCAAAGTGTATTACATATCTCAGAATGTCTGGAGAGAAAAACGCACTTTACTGCCCGTCTGCAAAATCACCTGGGAGGAGTAAGTGAAATTTCATTTCAGTAACCTGTGCCAAGCCAGGTTTGCGTACCCTGCCTGCAAAAGAAGTTTCAAAGCAGCTGCAGCATTGCATTCGAATAAAAAAGCCCTTTTCAGAGATACCAATCACTCACAGCTACCACTCCATTACACACCCTTACAAATCAGGTTCAACAGCTCCAGAAAGGAATGTGGAATAAAATTTAATTTTTACAGGGAGAACATGTGCATTAATTGGGTTGTGCATTAATTGTGCTATCAATTCTTCATTGATTCATGTGGATTAACTGCATCTGGCTGCACTGGCAGTAAAGGTCACAAACTGTTGGCACAAGCCTTACCTAGTCATTAGGTAGGTCACCCCAGTCACTGTGGTTTAATTAAATCAGTACAATTACACTGGCAATTTTCTCCATCTAGAAAAACCTTCACATCCTTGAGAAAAGGAAAGTTGACACATTGCTCAGTGCAAAACATTGTCACTTCACTGTCGTGTTCTAATAGTTGTTTTTTCCCCCCCTCTCGTCTGGCAGGGGATTTCGCAGAAGCTGGCGGTGAAACCGTAACTCTGCAGGAAGGAGAGGACCTAAATCTCAGCTGCACCCTCGGGGGTAGCAACAGCTCCATCAGGCAGTGGCTAAACCCTCGTGGGTTTACGATTTTTCTTGACACCAAGTGGGGTAAGTGTGAAAACTGAGGGCGGCACTTTCCGTGTGGAGCAGAGGGTCAGTTAGGGGTGGGCTTTCCAGCTCGCACCCAGGGCCAGTTTGACTCACCTGCTACCCAACCGCTAGAGATGGTTTTACGCTCAGCCCCTTTCTGGCAGGAAGTTCATGAAATGGAAACCCCCACAAGAGTGGTCTGGCACTACAGCTTTTAGCAAGGAGCTGTATTTACCACCAGCACAAAACCCACTCTGCTTTACAAGAGTGGCAGGGAGGGAACCTGCCTGAAAGCTCTGGGTGCTCTTCCCCTCACCGGGGGCATTAGATGTAGCACATCAAGGGGAAACCTTTACAACAGAGCAGAAGTTTTTATTATGTGCTGACAGAGCCAGAGTTACAGTCACTGTGTTCCCTTCCACTCACTATGCCTTCTAAATCTTTCTCTTATCCAAATTTGACAGCTCTGCAAGATGAGGTCTGCCTTAGCCCTCCCCATTTGTACAGTACCTAGTCAGCATCCAGCCTTGTTAAAGCCTTTGGGGATTTATCCAAATAACAGGAACCCAATTCCCACTGAAACAGTGCAGGAGCCAAGCGTCCTCTTTGGTTACTCTGGGAATCCCAGCTCCAGGGTCCCGTTATCTGCATCAAACCAGCCCCCGAGCATTTCCCACAAGTGTCGTGAACGTTTCTAAACAGAGAATACCACAAATAAGTATTGCTTGTTTATTATAACCTGCTTGGTTCGGATATCCAAGCTTCCAGGAATCACAGCAGGCTATGGCAGGGGTTCCTCACTCTTGTTGTGGTCCATTAGTCAGGTCTTGTACCCAAGAACCAAGACCAAGGATGAATTCCCCTCGCCACCAGTTATCTCCAGTACCAGTTTTAAGCATCTCCATCCTTCAGCAGACGTAGCCCTTTTGATGCTTGAAGCTTTGCTGAGCTGACACAGCAATTTAGGACATATCCACTAGTATCTATAGTGCAGACTCTAAGCTGAGCAGACAAAACCAGCACCTGCCTTAAATTACCTGAGGATTCAGCCCACAGCGTCAGTATCCCATGATTATCTCTCAGCAAGATGCATGATATAACAAACACAAGGATAAGAGTTTGCAAACCATTTGGATACTTGACAAGTCAGTGCTTTCCTTTCACAAAGGCAAACTGTCCTTTAGACAGGAACCAAGCTTCACGCTAGGTATGGACATTTTCAGTTTTTATTTTGAATCATCACTGTGATCCTTTGTCACATTGCTTCTCCAAAACCCACTTTACAAATCAGTTCCCTCCCCTCTCATTGTGTATAAGTCTTACATCATGGTATTACCAAAATCCTTTAATATTTAATCATTACCATAAATTATAGCACTGCTATGATATTCTCCCAAATTACATTTTAAAAGAGCTCAGCTAAAAACTGAAGACACTTTTTGAGAGTTCTCTCTCTAATGACTGATCCACATCCCCAGTTTCAGTTCAGTTCAAGAGGCAGAACATTACTTTCTGTGCTGTGATTGTGGGAAAAGTCCATGTGACTTGCTGGCTTGTCCCCAAGATTCGTCCAGGAGGAACGAAGCCAACACCAGAAAGTCAAGAGAAGGGACTGCACAGCAGAGCACAGTACATCTAGGTGACAGTCTCATTAAAATTAGCTAATTAGACAAGGAGAGGAGAAAAGAAACAGCCAATTAATAAGCAGTAAATAAAGAGGTGTGGGCTGACCATAGCGTTCATGCACCTAAAGAGGGAAGGGATTTTTTCAAGGCCAAATCAAAGGTTGAGGAATGGGGAAGGGAAAGCGCTCACCGCTTCATGCACCTTTGCTCTAGGTTCTGTATTCATGGGTCATGCTGGTGTTCTGACCACAGATCACATCCTTGAACCCCAATGTTTGCTTTTATTTATCTAAATATTTAAGGAACCCAAATTGCTGTAATACCTGGGAACGCAGGATGAAGACCTTCTTTTTTTTGAAGGCTTGGAAGCAGCTCTAAACTGTTTCTTTTTCACTGATTCCTCTCCATCAAAAAAAAAAAAAAAGGAACAAAACAAGAGGGTTTGACCTTTCAGGTCTGTGACTTGAGGGAAATCCCTTGCACCTCTGCATTACCCCCTCTTGAACTACAAAAACCTCAGAAATTCTGTTTCTTACTATGGATATAAATCTAACCACTTCGTGTTGCTATCCAGACACCGAATAACGTGGTAACTCCTTTTGATGGAGGGGAAACTGAGGCAAATAGGGGACATTGCTTGCATAAAATCAAAGAGAAGCAGAGGTCAAAGCCAAGGCCTGCACTCAACTTACACGCCAACTGGAAGATTTTTCATTTGCCAAACTGAACTTCTTTACAGAGTTAAAAAGAAAAAAAAAAAAGTTTTTCCTGCTGGCAGCACACACCCCATTCATCAGTTTACTGCTGCCTCTGTGCCAGGGCAGCACCAGCTAGAAACGCTTTTTGCTACAACTGCTCACTTATGTCAAGGTTGATGACTAAAAAAAGAACTGCAGTAAACAAAACTGATCTCACTCACTACTGCTTTGATTATCTGTCTTCCTCTCATGTACCAACACACATAGCATGCTGGGTTGTGTTTTCTTTACAGGTTTAAGAGATCAGAGGTACAAGCTTATCCATTATTCAGAGGATGAGTTATCCATCCGACTGTCTAATGTAACAGTGCACGACGAAGGCGTGTACAAATGCTTCTACTACGGCACCCCGTTCAAAGTCAAGACGACGACTGTTGAGGTGTTGGGTAAGTTCCCATCCTTGTTTTGTGCCGGAGGAGCCGAACAACAAAGCCAGCTCCCTAACTCCAGGGCTGCATTTTTGCATACAACTGTACAGTGTTTAGCACAGCATAATCCCAGTGTTAGCTCAGCCCTACCCAACAATGCTACGTAGCGTTATTAGTGCATGCAGCCATTCATAAAACTGAGCAGAACGAGTTACTACAACTGATTGCAAACCTTCTTGCTGCAGCTGCTCCTTCTAAACCGGTACTGGAAGCATCCCAAGACACAGAAAGAGGCATTACACTGTCCTGCTCTACACGAGGAAGTAAACCACGGCCCCAGATTACCTGGCTGTTGGATAACGGGATACAACTTCCAGGTAAGCATTAAAAGAACAGAGACTGTTATGAACCAATTTCTTCTTATCAGCCTTGAGCACATCTAAAAATGGTACCCTGGCGGTACAGGTTTGGAGAAAAGCCAGCACTAAATGCTTGTGCAGGGGAGATCACAGGATGGCTCATCTCACCTGCTCACATTCGGTGCAAGAACAACAGCACCTGGCACCGAAACCCTTTGAGAATCTGAAGCGAAATTCCACCGAAATAAAATGAAACCAAAACCCTGGAGGCACAATTTGCATGTCCAAGCATGCAGCCAGTTAGCAAAGCCATGACAAATCCCATTTTGTGTTTGGTACAGGTTTTCCTTAGCTATGCTGAGCAGCTCACCTGCACACGTGCTGCCTTTCTCTCATTAATCTGCTCAGAGCCAGGCAGTTCACTAGCACACCACGAACAGCAGTCAGGAAACACAGCCCACACAGCCCTGCAGTGATGACAGACCTGAGCACAGCTAGGTAGACATAGATGAAGGGGAACGGAGCCTCTAGGCAGCTCAATTTAACTTGTGTACCATATAAATAGCTGCTTCAAAGGCCACGTTCTAATAATACCTGCCTTATTAGCTGCAACTGTAGCACACTGGAGAGGAAACATCCCTGTCAACGTGAGGAAAATACTCATAGATGCAGGTGTATTTTCTTTTACATATTAACAAACGTGTTTGTATTTTTTCCATCACCAAGCAACATGCTCAAAGCTTAGCCTGTAATATTTTTCCCCCAAGATGGCTTTTTTTTTTTTTTTTTTTAACTAAGAGCTCAAGAAAACAGCAGGAAAGCAGTTGTTCTAAAAGAGGGGTGTCCTTAAACTTGAAAGGATCTCAGTTTTGGGCTGATGTAGTGTATTGTTTGAAGCAAATACAAAAAAAAAGCCAACCAAGCATTTTTCCAGCTAGTTCAATAAAAACCTACACTTACCTTTGTCTCCTCCTTGCACCTTCAGATCCATAGCACAAACATCTGCCAGGCATTAGAGCACATCATAGCAATAAGAGCTACCTGGCCCTCCACCTCCTGTCCCACAGCTACCTGGGAACTTAATTAAGCAACAAAGGGCCTGTGCTGGGTTTGCTTGATTGGTTTAATTTGTGGTTGGTTAAATGAAGGGATATTTGCATGAAGAGGTGCTGATTCACCATCCAGCCCGTTTGCAGCAGATGCAAACGATGTTTGAGAGGAAAAAAATAACTGTCCTAATTCAGCAACTCTCAAACTTTCTGCATGTGCCCTTCCTTTTTTGCAGGTGACTGCCTTTGACTAACACCCCTTTCTCCCCCCTTCTATTTTCAGCTTTAATCACTTCCTGCAAATATTTATACTAATCAGAAAATAGCTAATACATTTTAATTACTGGCAACACCTCAGTTCCACCAGGGCTCAGCAGGGGCAAACCAGCTGTAATTACTGAGCTGTTGCTGACAATTAAAGATTATTTCCTTTCTAGCAAAAACACTATGAGATCCTTTTGAGTTCTCATGTGACCCCACTAGGGATGGCAAAGAGTGCTAAGAAATACTGGTCTGTGATACAATAAATTATCTGTAAAGGCTAATTTGGAAACAAGGAATTTCTTTCATTTAAGAAACAAGGATGTTACCAAGGGAACAGGTCAAGAGAAAGCATTAGTTTGTTTCCTGAGAACCTCTACAGTAGAAGCAGCCAGTTGAGATTATTGTGCCACTGTGGGCATTTAAGGTAAACATCTGAAAAAAAACTCCCTCTCCACCAGAGCTATTCAAACACGTCTCTCTGTGTCACATGAAATACATCTTTATCGTTCCATCCAATATTAGTGAGTGGAAGTCAGTGTTACCTAGAGGACTGGGGAGTGCAGCAGACATGTCACACGACTGCCTCTAATTCGTTATGGCACAGCAATTAATCTTCATGTCCCCCAGCTGTAAAATGGGAAGTCAAACCTGGACTGTGGGGATGATGGAGGACTCGTACAGGATTTAATGGAGTTGTATCAGTGCTTATTACAAACATAAATATTGCACATCAATAAAAATTCAACAACTTCGTATGCTTAGGGTAACAAATGTACAGCTATTGAGACACAAATTCAGCACCCTCAGATTATCACTAAGCAGAATCTGAACTTTTTTAGCCCTTGGTCATGCTACAGACCTTGCCTCTGAGGGTTCTGGCCCCAGCTAAGCAATTTGTTCCATTCAGTAAAGACCAGAAGTGCTGGTGGGTGTCGGGACATCCCACTGCAGTCTTCCAGGGTGTGTGAGCACTGCTGCAGAGGAACTTCCCCCTGTGAGTCATGAAATGGAGCAGAGTGTTAGGGTTAAGCACAGGAGGTGCAGCGAGGGCTGCACTTAAACAGCCACCGAGGAAGAAAAGGTGACCTTGCTGTCTTTGGGCTCCCGTGTAAATCCATTTACACAATGAACCACTTGGGCCCAGCAATCGTGCGCTGCTCTAGCAGAGCAAAGTAATGCAGATTGTGCCTGGAAGGTTTTTCATTAAATTGCTCTTGACTAGAAAGCACTTAAATGTGTTCTTCCAACGGGCGTATAGGTGACACCACGCACAAGTTAGAAGCCAATGGGGAGAAATGGACCACAACCAGCACGCTGACAGTCCTCGCCTACGGGCCCAATTCAACAGCCAGCTGCCTCGTTCACCACAAAGCATTAAAAGAAGAGAAGCTGGCTGTGCCTTTCCGCTTTGAGGACCTCCCTGGGACAGGTACTGCAGCACTCTGAGCAGCAGCTATCTCATTTTAGCACACAAGTGGTTATGCAGATACGCGTGCAAAGCTGAATGCTGTGCTCTACTGCCCCGTGTGTGAAATCTATTTTTACATGAGAGGGCTATCTGGGGCAAATGAGGAACTCCAAACTAAAGTTTTATGGTTTTCTTGTTGATGTTTGCTTTTTTTTTTTTTTCTCTGCTTCCTAACTACCTTAAAAATCATTAAAATTAAGCCATAGCAGCTCAGATGAGCAGCAGGGCTAAGTTCCCCAGTGCTGCTGCTAGAATTCTGGTAGTGTTTGCCCTAGAGCTTTAAAGGTAATGCAGAGTGCATGTTCTCAAAAAGCTCTGAGCTTTCCATGTCCTCTGTGTTTTAGATACATCCACATGGAAAGCTAGAAGGGTGTAAACATAGCAAATTAACACTGAAGCTGCTTTTAATTCTCAGAGCAGTTTGCCTTCTGCCCATTTACTTGTCTTTCGGATGGGTCTAATTATTCTTACTTCACTCCTCATTAGATTGCTTGATTCTACAAATGCTTACAAAGTGCTCTGAAAGTTGTACTGTTGTTTTTTTCAGTGACAAACACATATCCTGCATCAACTGCACAAGAGGTGGTTACACACGTCCCTGAGCATGAGCAGCCTACAGGTATTGTCTTCCTCTAATTAATATACAGGTCAGATAAGCACAGCATCCATCACAGAAAATGCTGTACAGTGTCTTTCCGTAGAGCTTGGGCTGCAAAAGAATAGCACTGAGGAAGATTTTGCTCAGCATTCAGACCTGCTTTGTTTTTTTTCCCCCCAGCGACTGCAACAGAGTCAGATCTGGACAACAGTACAGACTTCTCCCCAAGCTACCCACAACATAATGGTATGAGTTTTACTTTCATTTTTTACTCATTTCACGGTGCTAAATATATTCAGACAGAGAAACTGAAGGTGGGAAGGGAGGACTGTAAATCTAACCACAGCTCAAGATAGGGGACCCAAACAGCCCAGGCACGAACACCACAGCAGTTTTCATTTGGGATTGGACTGAACAGCAGTGTGTGACATGTGATGTTTATCTTGTGTTTGGGGATTTTCCTCTAGGCTCTGACCAGCCAAGCATCCCTTCTGCAGTACCAGAGAATCCAGCAGTTCTCAGCTCAGCATCAACTACAACCCAGCAAAACCTCCAGCCAGCTGTCACATCTACTTGTAAGTTTGGACTTAATCACATGAATTTATCAAACCAGGACAGAAATGCCACCAGGAATGTCATTATATTACCATCTTGCACACAACATAAAACACAGCAGTTCCTGCCTGTGAGCAGAGCCTCTGTTTTACAGCCATAAAAGCAGACAAACTCTCTCGTTAGATGCAGAAGAATTACATCAGGGTTGGCAGCAGCCAGACTGGCCAAGCGTTCTCGTGATGTGTCAGAAAAGCACGGCATGAGCTGAAGCTGGGATTTCTCTGGGTGGCTGCACTAGGTGGCACTGTGCAACAAAGATTATCAGTGCATATAAATGGCTGCAAATTGAATTTATTGTACTGGAGAACTGTTTCCAACAGAAGAATAAAGAGCTCCACTGTGCAAACTGGTTGACCAAAACCCACCAAAGTGGGCACCTGCTTAGTGTTATAGGCCAAGCAGTGAAAAGTCAACAGACTGTTTTAGAAAGGCATGAACCCTTTGTTTGTATTTGTTTAAAAGTGCTGTATCAGTGTCTGCAAACTTCACAGAATGGCTACATCCTGTTGATAATCAGCTCTATTAACATTGAGAGGGAGCATAAATCTTTCAGCACGATGTGCTTACGTAACTGATAAGGAAGAAAATCTCTTATGAATGTAAAGTTTTGGCAAACACTGCATGCCTTATCCTTTTGGTCTTACAAATCATAGTAAATTACACAAAGATATATTATATTATCCATGTGTGTAAGAAACTCAGAGCTCACCTCTCTGCTTCTGCAGGGCCCGAAGCAACATCAGCTGCAGCAGGAGAGGAAGAACTGTCTGGTACCCCGAGTCACCATGTCCCAAACGGTACGTTACAGCATCAGATGTGGGGTGGTGAATCACAGAACAGTGATTCTCACACTGGATGACTGCACCTCTGCGAGCTAGGACAGCAAAAGATAATCTGAGATGAATACAAGACAAGAATCTGCTTTAAGAAAAAGGATAGCTGCATATTCTTGTATTTCAAGTGAACTAAGGGGCAGGGAAAGCCTAAAAAAAATAACAAAGATTCAAAGCTCACACTCCTGTGAGTCTGTAAAATTGGAAGTATTCGGTAAAGTACTCCAAGGATTTTATGTTCATAAAGCTTAAGTGGTCTTTATCTTATAAAGAAATGCAGTGTCAAGGAAGTGAGCACGGCGCTTTAAGTCAAGGGCTCCAGTAGCCTTTCTGTTGCATTACCAGGTGCCCTGCCCTTCAGAGCTGCTGGAAAAATAAAGATTTCTCAAGCATCCCTTTGCCCTTCAGAGAAACACTGTTCTTTTTCTTTCTCCAGGCACTGACACAGCATCCAATGGCACAGTGACAGAAGACGAACTTCCCAGGACAGAAGCCTCACCCCCAAGTGAAAACGTAACTCAGATTTCCATCATCACCTTCGGTAAGCTCTCATAAATACTTTTCAGTGACAACTTCCAAACACACCACAAGCTTTCTAACATCAAGCTGACTCTCTCTGACCAGGTATCCACCTCCAAACCTAGTGCCAGTACACCAGGGTAATGCTAACTTGCAATCTTGAGGAAGACCACAGAAACACAACCATTTCTACCACCTAGAAAAAAGCCACATTTTACCAAATTCTCTGACTTCAAACAGTTTTGTTTGTTTATACAACTAGGAAAATATTAACCTCATATCTTAAAACTCAAGCCAGTAAGGTGAAATCTGCACTCCCCCCATGTTCACCTGGCCTTGTCCATGAGACATCATTCTTGCTTTAATCACCAGAAACTCCCAGGAAGCTCTTTAACAACACAAACATACATCTGCCTCTTTTCCAGAGCAAGATCTGCTATCCGAAGGCATCCAAAGGGAGAAGGATGTCCTGCTGCCAAGCTTGGTGGCTGTTCTGATTTTCGTGTTGCTCATCATTGTTGTGCTTTTTATGAGGAAGCTGAAAAAAGCTCATGGAGTGTGGAAGAGAGGTGAGTGATGGCACTGTTTGAGTTACTGCTAACACTGCTGAAGAGTCCCTGCAGCTGATGGCCTGGGGCCAAGCTTCAGCTGCCACAAGTTGTCACATAACTAAATTGTTTTCTTAAGCATCTCTCTTGTGAATGATCAGGATAATTGCACTCTTATTTTCTAACTTCTTTTTGAAAGACTAGGATTGTTATGCTCAAGGCAGAGAGTGAGGAAAAGTCATGGAAAAAATCTCAGTGTTTAATTACATTTGTTTTCTGCACAGAAAATGATAATTCAGAGCAGACGCTGGAGAGTTATAAATCCAAATCTAATGAAGAAAGTCCAGGCCATGAGAAGAACGAACAAGGTAAAAAGTTTCAACCGATATAAATTAATTCCTGTCAGAGCATTGGTACCAACCACTGCAGAAGCAAATCACTGTCCACCTTTTTTTGTACAGAGATATTTCCAAATTGGGCATTCTAAACCTGAATATTGTAAAGCCAAGGCTTTCATCACCTGAAGTCTACCACCTCATAGCTTAGCTCTATCATAGGTTCACCTTTGATACAGAACCATAAAAAATTAAAATCATGGCTTTTCATTTGATAGTTCAGACTGGATAATCACAATGGTTTTATCTAGTTTCTATATCCAATCTACTAAAATGCCATTAAAGATACTATGAGTGGTTTATACGGGGAATTCAACTATTGTTAAACAGTCCTGAATATGCTGGGTCGTTCATTGTTTTATAACACGATGAAATAGCACGTATTTCAGGCTGGTAAAATCAGTAATAAATGAGTAATAAATGTGTATTTATCTTCCAGCTGTCAGTCAGAAGTCCAACGTGCAGTACGTAACAGAAGGATATGCGGAAAAAACACAGAAGAATCCAGGAGAGAAAAACATCACAATAGCTGAGAAACTGTTTACATGTGGAAGGGAAACAGATGTATAGCAATGTGGTCCTTCTGGCAAACACACAGAAACACCACTGTTTTTTTTTTAATATTTATCTTAGAGCATTCACAAATCAGTATGATGTCAGGGAGCAGGAGTACAAGCGACTATCCTCAATCCCAGAGCCAGTCTGGACTCTTTTCCTCTACACAGTAGGACAGGTAGATGGGACTGGCACTCCTATCAATCTATGAGCAATGAACACTCTGATTTAGCTGTAGTTCTCAGAGGATTTAATTGACCACTGCCAGAATTATGGGTCATCAATCCACCCTAATCCACCCTAATTGCTATTAGGGTCCTTGCAAGGGAGTACGCAGTTAGTCCCAGGGACCACAGGATATGGAGATATTCCTGCAACACTTCTGCCACTCTGCAAGCACAGGGCTGAAGAGGAAACCCTGGGAGATGCAAACCAACTGGGACTTCTATGAACTCAGTCTGACAGCCAGACCTGGCCATCCAGTGCTATCAAACCAAGCAGGAAAGCATCCTGATGTCTAAGGTATTAAGCTAAACAGTTGTCCCCCTTGGAAGTCTTCAAATGAGGGGTTGGCAAAGGTGAAGAGGAAGGACAGTGTTTCACCTGGGACACCCCAAAAGCAAGGAGGATGACACTTGCCTGTGAGGGAGCAAGCAGAGAGCATCGCCATGATGTTTCATCTGCAGAGCCCTGCGATGCCACCACCAGGAATCTTTTCTTTTGCAGGAGCCTCGTACTGGGGTTCTGTACCGTAAGATCAACTTTCTGAAATAAAGGAAATTTGCATTCCTCTATAGCAGAAAGCTGTATTTATTTTTCTTGGAAGAGATGATTATTTCTCATCACAAGTGAGAAAAACGCTGAAAACTCTTTCTGAATACTGGATTAAATAAATGCTCTTGAAACGATTGCTAGAACTAATTTCATTTTTATGTGGAAAGTGTCCCCATTTTTGACAGGGGGGTAACACAGCTATCACCACAACACTGCCAGTCCACGGCCTGTTGCAACAGTGGTTTAACCATCCAATTTGAATCCCTTTCCATTCAGCCAAGCCACAAGGAAATATAAAACACCCCAACTGTTTGTAAACTCAGCTTGTAGGGTTTGTGTGGTGATGGCAGGTGTTCACAGACAAACAGACCCGGTAACCCCAAATGTTTCCTATAAAACCGAGGGCCCTGGCAGCTGCCCAGCCCCACAGCACTCTCCAGCCCAGACCTGGTAGCCACCTGCAGATCCTGCAGGGGGTTAAGAAGCGGCTTTAAGTGTGCACAACCCCTTTAAATGTATTAAACGGATGGAAAATTGTACCTAAAATCTATATAATCCATACATAGGGGCCCCTAAAAACGTGTGTGTCATCTGGGGAAGCCTAAACCCACCTTCGGCTGCGTATTTGCTTTTACCTGTCCTTGCTGGGCACTGTACCAGCCCTCTGAGGCTTCCATGCCTGTCATCTGCCCTGAATTTGGGCTCAAATCCTGCCACTTTGGTGCTGTGCGGGTGTCGGGGAGGAGGGCCGAGCAGCACCGCCCGCCGCCCACGACGGCGTTTTGAACGCTCCCGCCTCCAAGAGCGGCTCGTGAAGCACCGGGAGAGCTCAAACCCTGTGCAAACCACCCGGGCTGCAGCCTGCAGGGCCGCCAGGGACACCGCGGCCGGGCTGGGGGAGCGGCGGCACCCCCGGGGCTCTGCCCCGCTGCCGGTACCGGAGCCCCGGTAGCTGAGGGCCTTTCCCCTCACCTTACCGGTCCAGCGCGTCCCCCCCTCTCCGGCCTGACACTTGGTACGTGCGGCGCCGCGTCCCCCTGTGTAACCATGGCGACGGCGCGGCCCAACCCACTACGGCGGGGGGAGACCGGAGGGGTCCCCGCTGTCGGGCCCGGGGCTGGTGCGTCCAGGGGGCAGCCCGCAAGGCCTCGCCTCAGGCGGCGGCGGGGCCGCAGCCGGTTGCAGGCAAATTTCTCGCTCACCTGCGAGCTGTTCTGGGCTAAACGGTGGCTTTTCCCGTCACGGTGCCCTGTACGAATCCAGGGGTGCAAGGGACTTGTGAAAATGTAAAGGCAGCCAGATGAAATCACCTAATTCCGGACGGCTCGCTGGCTTTGCACCGCGTTCCCCGTCAGGCGCACGCTCCCTCCCACAGCCTGCTCGGTGAGGTGAGGAGAAAGGGGGTAAATAAAATCTGAAGGTGACAAAGTTTCGTTACCTTGCCTTAGCTTTGTTTTCCTTTTCATCAGCTGCTTCCTACATGGTTAGCTCTGTTCCCAGTAATACACCAGTTGAAGTTCGTTTACTAAAACATTGATTTGCAGTGTAGGGACCTTGGTTCTAATTGCTTGAAGGCAAATCCTTGTCACAGATATGAGTAAAGAATTGTCTTAGCTGTAGGAAATTAAATTCTGAGCTTCAGCCAATGATATTACGCACACCGCCTTTTAACAAATATAACCCTTATCATAGAGCAAACAACCTCTTTGAGCTTATTGTCGTGTTTTCCAAATACAGGGTCGGTGCATGCCATCGGTGGAAAGCACAGGATGAATTCTTCAGGTACGGAGTATATTTCAGTTTCTTCTCCAAGCACTTACGACATGAGTAAAAAACCTTTTCCTCAGAGAGTAATCACGCAACCACATTTTCATCCTGCACATTGGAAAAAGACATCTGTAAGCAAAGGGGGCTTTGTCCCTGACTCCCAAGAGTCCGATTCTGAAAGCCTTGTTCAAGAGAGGCAGTATCAGCTGGAACTCCAGCAGCGAATTCATGAAAATGAAGAGCTGGTAGGACTGTATGCTGATGAGGTGGAGAGTGACAGCTTAGAAGAAGAAGATAGCTTGGAGGAGATGAGTTTAAGAGAACAAGGAGTTAAGTATGACACAAATCAATATACAAATGGAACACGAGAGAAAGAGAGTAATGGAAGGTAAGGCATAATCTTTTCATAGAAGAGTATAATAGTTCTAACACTTTAAAGCCTTACATCCCTCAGAATATATATTACATCTTCAAGACCAACTT